TTACCTATCACGCTAGTGGTCTAAACCGTCAACTTTTCAATGAGAATTTATCGTGCCAAACACAAATTTATTTGCTTCAACCGTTATATTGATTTTATTTCGTGCACTTAGAAAAGTTCTAGCATAAAATTGGTTCTTTGAAAATAAAGAATATAATATACATATATCTATACCTTTATACTTTTCTATTGTATAATTTATTAGCTTGCAAAGAATTTAAATAATTAATATTTCTGTTAAATATTTTTCATATAATTTTCTTAAATGACTAGCAAAATACTTGCTATTATTTACAGGTTAAATAAAAAAACATTCTACAAAAACATTTTATAAAGATGTTAGGGTTTAATAATAAAAAGAAAAAAATTTTTATCATATTTGAAAATTATATTAAAGCTCATTTCAATATTTATAATTATGTAAGTTTTCTCAATTAAATTATATAGATAAGTAAAAACTAATATGCATATTACAAAAAACTATAATAAGACAAAAGTAATTGTTATAATTAAGCAAGTTATTCTTCTAAAATTAATTTAGTATACCATAGTATTTGTTACTTATAAGTTATAAGTTATATAATTTACATCTGAGGCTTTACCTATAAATTATAATTTAGTAAATGTATCATATTTAACTATTCATATCATTGAATGGTAGGCACGTAGATATAAAATGTTCAAAACCACATTTAAAAAAATAAATACTTTAATCTACAATGAAGAAAAATGTGTTATCTATAGAATTATAGTTATAACTAAGGTTAGGATTTATATGCAATAAAAAATTGTAAGATATGTATTTGGTTAATTAAAAAAATGCAAAAAAATATAAGTTATATTATATTTGTTAAAAATATGAAATATAAATTCGAAAAAAATAATAATAAGTTTTAAAATTAATAAAATATTATTCTTAATTATTGACGATATTTAAATGTATTAAACAAAACAATTACATGGGGTTTTAAATTTTCAAAACTGAACAATCATCTTTGGTTAGATCTTATTATGTTCTTATATAGGTATTTTTTTATCTGCGTCAATACATATTGTCACGCGATAAAAACGTCTAGTAACAAAATATGCCATAAAACATGCATTTTTCACATTTTTATACCTAGTCAAAATATTCAATAATATGCATTTTGTCCATAATGTGCAAAATAAAAACACCATCATTTACTTCATCATGAGGTAATTTGTGGACATTACTGACAAAAGCAATAATCAAAAATTCAGAAGTTGAAAAAAATTAAACTGTTGTATTTAAATCCTAGCCTTAGTTATAATTATTTCCTATTAAATTAAAGAACGAGTGTACGAGTATTTACTATCTACCTACTCGCTCCATAAAAGTCAGTTTTAGAAAGCTTCTCACGAATTTGAATTTCTCAAATTGTACTTAAGTTAAATATACTTCTGATTTTAATGTAATAAATATCATGACCGTATTAAGGAATAAAAATATAATTAAAAAAGCATGCTTACAGGTTAATGATATACCTACATAAAATATAATATCTATAGTAGGCAGTTTTGCATAGTATTTTACAAATATTATTACATATTTCAACTTTTAAAGGACTTACTTTCTACTTATCCACGGTACTGTAAACTTGTACCCATATATATAATAAACTTAATATTTTAAACGCATAATTATTTTATTGTAAATTAAATAGCCAATACCAAATGGTCAATATAATTACTAGATAAGAACTGAAAATTCAATATGTCTATTCTTACACATGCTATAACTATGAGAATTTTAAAATTTTAATATTTTATATAGTTATAATTCACTTTAAACTAAAATATCAATAATATAAAAGCTTTTGTAGTGCTCTTGATAATATTATTACCGTTATGTATGATAATTCTTTTTATCACTATATAGGTAGATAGATTTTTTCCTCAAGACTACCTACAATATAAGTCATTATAAATTTCTTATAATTTTATTGTGAAAAAAACATATTTATAGATTGTATAATAAATATTTTTAAAAAAAGTATAATAATTTATAATAGGTTATAATTTGTTTTTATATTAAAGGCAACAACAGAAGATTGATTCTGTTGAAAGCAAATTTTCTATAATTTGTAAGACGGGAACAACACATAATATGACTATATAAGTGTCGAATGTGAAGTTTTTAAATTTAGTAATTATTACCTATGTATATATTAATTGGAAAATAATTAGCTCCAATATAAAAACGACTATTTACCATATATGTACGTATTCAGAGTTCATGAAGCCGCGAGCCATCTATAATAACTCTCTCTCCACGAGCCCCGTGGATCAGCCGATACGTATACGTTGACGGGTCGATTTGTCGATTCACAATTGTCATTTGTTATAATATTTTGTCATCACCGTGTTTCGTTTTTCGTACTCATACTGTGTCGTGTATAATACTGCCTGTGTCTAATAGCATTTATAATTATTGTATATATATATATAACCAACACTAATAGACTACTGTATAGTATGATCTAGTAAAAGTAAAATAACTAATTATTTTGCTGCGAGTTTCTCTACTTTATAACACTCAGTGGATGATAATGAGTTAAACTGTCAGACTCTTAAAAAAATAATACCGACTGAAAATGAGTGCGTCGAAAAAATTAGAAGATCCTAACAGAAAATCAAGATGTAGACTTAGCGGCAATATTTGTTTAATTAAGTTAATGTCAAATGTTTTATTTATGGTGGGAATGGGAATATTTATAACAATATTATTGTATTAGGCTATTGATTTCTTATTTTCTTCAATATTCATGACATTGGTAACCAATGTATTTAACCAATGGACTGATACTGATAGATATTTGGTGAAAATTTCAATTTTTGTTAAAATCATATATTATGTAAATTGTGTAATTATATTATTCTAAAGTCGTCTTAGTGACTGTTCATCGTGAAGTTATATTAATATAACTTTAAACAAAGCATTGGACGAATTGGGAGAGGGGGTAAAAAATAGATTTAATAATATAATAAAAATATTGTTGATATTATATTTATAACTACAGTTTATTATGATCAAATAGTGCTTGTTAAAAATTTAGCTATATTCTCCGACGAAAAAATCATTTGACCGTCACTATTCACGATATTCATGAATAATAAAAATCATTCCCCAACACTAATTTTACTAGCTATTTCAAAATCCAAATGAATATGTCTGTTTCGCCTATATATTGCCATTTTTGCGTAAAACAACCGGCAAATACAATTTAAAAATTTTCTACATTGATTCACGTTGAATTAAATGATCAATAATGAAACGAACTTTTTTTTACTTATATTACGCACATTATTTATTTACGATATTATAGCCGTACTTGCATTATAATATCTATAAGCTGGGACATAGATTTAGCTACTCTATATGGGGTATACTAACAGCAGGGAAATGCTTGGTGTAAATTTTCATTTGAAAAAAAAATCTACAAGTGTCAGTGTTAATAATATTATTTTTTTTTACTGAAAAACGAACTGATTTGTATCCGGCTTAGCATATTTGAGGAGAGTCTTGAAAAATTAATTATACAAACATTTTCATGAACTTTTTAAGAATAGCAAACAAATGAGAATTCAAATTAAATTATTCATTTATTTCAATTCGTGTTCTTTGATATTTTAATTTTGCCGTCAAATTTTAAACCTATTTAAACCTATTAAACCCATTTTAACCTAACCTAACCACGAATTTCAATGAATAACGAACCACGAACTCCAAAAAAGAATATGAGCACATATAGCGCGTCAAAAAAAAAAAATGTTTATAGTTACGCGTCTATTAGTTTTTGGCTGCAGCTTAAAATTATAGGTATATATACCTATGAATATTTACGATTTATAAGACAGTAGTCACCCCGACAAAAATAATTAATATATACTAAACTAAGCATCTAGGGGTCGAACGATGGGGATGACAAGTGTCTACTGGAATCAGTGCAACAAGATTTTTATAGGTAATAGCATGGCTAAATACTCAGGTATGACAGTAACTCTGTGATATGCATGTCATGACGTCAGCCGGCAGGAACTTTTATCACAGTTGTAACTATATAGTTTCAAGATTTGGCCGATAAAAATCCTTGCCGGCTGACGTCATATTATCATATAATAAATTAAGATTTATTATTTCATGAATGCATTTATAGAACGGATTTTAGTAACATTGCTGACATACCTAAGTATTTAGCCATGGGTAATATATCTACAGAGTAATTATTATCAAGTACCTATAAGTTGATTTAGAAAATTATCCATTTTAAAATACGAAACGAGACGATATTGAATGTAAACAAAAATCTGTGAATTACAAGGAGTAGAAACACAAAAATACATTTTATGCCGTTATCATGTAGGACGAAGGTGATGATGCGTAATCTACATGATTTTAATTGTTATATAGTAGTGAGTAGGTATTGGAGTACAGAGTTAGGTACAACTCAATCCCCAACTTATGAGTTCTAAATAATAGGGTTTTTACTAAAACGAATAAGATATACTTACGAAAAGTATGGGTTACAACAGAATATTGTGCAGTAAATATGTTCAAGTACTTTCGGACATTAAATCGACATGGTACCTACGCGAGCTACGGTGGTCGTATATCTGAAATTTAAATTCTCAAATAATTGTAATATTTTATATTGTATTCCACTTTATTTCTTGTGTTTTAATTATAATACTACTAAGTACAAATATATAAATCATGATAAAGGAAATTAACTTTATCATGATCAAACCGTTGGGTTATGAAAAAGATAAAAATGTTCACATGGTGATAACACAGAATAGATTAAATGTGATAGTCACTGAGATGTTAACTTAACCACGGTAACGAGATTTTAAATGATAACCAAAATTATCAGTGAAATTTTGCTATCCATAAAATAAGGCACTATAAATGTAGGTATGATAGTCCGCCATTTTGCGAGAATTGATACATAGTGATAACAGATTCAAGCCATTCGGCATTCAGCTGAACGTCATAAACTTATCATAAAGTCATATTATAATATTATATTATATTGTTTGTAAAACAAAAAATTCTACAAAAAATGGGTGGTTGTACAGCGGTTAACTGTTCTAATTCACGTAGCAAAGGTTTTCGTCTTTTTCGGTTTCCAAGAGATCCTAAAAGACGAAAAGCTTGGTTACAAAATTGTCGCCGTGACAAATGGAAGCCTACAAATTCATCTGAGTTATGTGAAGTAAGTATTAAATTAAACTTGCGAAGGTTTAATCATTATTAATTAATTCAATTTAGTAATTTTAATATTTTTTGCATATTCCAATAGATCCATTTCGAAGAAGGACAATTCGAACAACATCGTCTGGATGGTGTTAAAAAACTTAAACCAAATGCTATACCAACATTATTTAATGTATCAAATGCACCTCACTTGTTGAAAACTAAAAGAAAATCTACGTATAAAGTAAAGGTATATATCATAATTCATTATTAAAACAAATTTATTATAACTAAAAATATGCTTTGTTGCATAAATTAAATATAAATATATATAATGATTATCAATAGTAGTTATTTTAATCTACATTATGTAATTAATTAATTTAAATGCTACAGTCTTATTGTTTTTATTTATTTTACAGATCATACGTAAGTGCAACAACGGTAAACTTAAAAAAAATGTTTCTTTGACTAAAAAAAAGTTATCACAAACAGAAGTAAGTTTAATTTAAGTTATTTTACTTAAATTTAAATTTTTTTGTATTTTAGATGATAACAAATAATGTAACCATCGATGATAAAAATCCTGAGCCGGTTAGCTGCTTGAATGAGCAATGTTTGTTACTAGATCCAATAGTAAGTCTTATAAATTATAATTAAAATATTTATAATTTTGTATCTTAAATACTTAATGCATGTTGGTTTATGTAATTTTAATAAGTTATATGTAAATTGTGAGGCTTATATTTTAGATCCTAGATATTGTGGTTTAAAGCTCACCGATGACCAATTAGACTCTACTTTAAACTATGAAAATGTGTATCACCAAGAGATAATGCCGGAAATAATAAAATTTCAAGCTAAGGCTTTTCTATTTAAAGATTACCTTTTTTTCAGAAAGTACAGTCAAGAATATTAAACCATGACTTGGTGGTTAGCCTTAAAAAAAAAGAAAAAAAAATATAACTCATAAAATGTTAGAAATGGTTAGCTTAGTTCATTCCAAAATAAGGAATAGGTTAGGAGTTGAAAAATCTTCAAAATTAGTAGCTATTTTCAAATCCTTAAATAAACATGATACTAAAATTGATACTTAATTTATTTTATATTATTACAAGAAAAAGGACTATAGTTGTAAGTTTTCATTATAGGTACCTACTAATCCGGCTGGCTAACAAGCTGGGCCGTGAAGACAATGAACAAAGATCCTGGACTGGCGGGCATCAAAGCCAGTTCTAGGATCCAACAATGCGGAATCGGGCCATAAGCCACAAACTTTTATTTCATTTTATATTCATAAAAATTCATTTGTGTGCGTCCTTCGGGACTTTTCGGTTTTTTTTTTTGTTATCTAAATTCTTGTAAACTTACATGTGCATCCTAACGGAGTTTTCAGTTAATTATTAATTGTAAATTGATTTCATTAATAAATGATGGCGGCGTCGCGGAAGTAATGTGCAAGCAGTCCCCGTGTCGCCGTCGGTTCAAACAGAAAAAAAAAAGGTACCTACTAATTACTATTGTTTCAAATTTATAAAGTAAAAAGTTTTGTATTGTAACTGTATAAGTATCAAGTATGATACCTACTAAAATGTTTTATTTTGTTATTTGTTTAGTTTATTGTAATGTTAACTATTAACTTATAGTTACAAAAGACTGGAGATTGATCTCAAATGTTCTTATACTTAAGTAATTTTGTTTTTGATTTATTGAAACGTTAACTATTAGCTTATTCAGTTTATTATTAAAGACTTAAAAGTTAGAATTTATTAAAATTATATTTAAAAGAATATTCTATATTACGATTTACGATATTAATATCTAATGTCTGTTCAGAAGAAAACAACAAAAAATATTAACATGACTAAATTGTATTAATATGTTATGATTAAGTGCTCTTAACCTAATACTTACTTCACACAACTCAGATGAATTTGTTGACTGCCATTTGTCACGGCCACAATTTTGTAACCAAATTGTTTGTCTTTTAGAGTCTGTTGGAAATCGAAAAAGACCTTTACTACATGTATTGAAACAGTTTAGAGCAGTACAACTGTCCATCTTTGGTAGTATATTATTAAAGTAATATTTACGTGAGATTTAAAAACTATATTTTTCAGAATATATTAGTCTAAGGGTGTAAATCATATCGATTTTTTAGTTTTACTTAAAATCATGTTTAAAACGAAAACATATCTGTAATATCTGTATTCTCAATTATTCTGTATGTTTTAATAGTAATAATTGGTAATCATTTGTCGCAAAATGGCGGATGATTATATCTACTTCTATAGTGCCCTAGATAAAATAAACATTAGGTACCTATATATCAAAATTTAAATTTAAATTTCAAATATACTAATACCTATTATAGCATAAAAAAATAATTGTTTATTCGCTTATAGTATTTAGTATATTCTAATATAATTATGTATTACTCTAATACTGTATAATAATTGCCTATTATATCTACTAATTATTTATTTTCATGGCTAAACACTTGGATAAGTTCTCAACTTGGTTTTTTGGATGAGTGTCATGCCACACTGTCTTTTCATAAGTCATTTATCTAGTGTTTTATTTTTTTATATTAATTTTGTCTGCTGTTTAAAAAAAAATAAATAAATACATAGTAGTAACAAACATTGTAAACATCTAATATGTCTGCATCAAATATTAACTTCATATTTTGTCCAAATTGAGAACATACCACAATTACCAGTATACTTAGCCATGGTTAGTTTATAGTTCTACCATAAATTAATAAAAATAATTTTATTTTTTATTTTAAAGCCTGTAGAAAATTGTAGCAAATAAAAAAAAAAATGTTTTTATATAATGGTTCACTAAAATTTAATAGTTTACAAGATGGTTTAAGCAAACTGGTATATGAGGCTATGAAATATACTAGATTATTATTATAAAAATTGTTATTGACCCTTATTGTCTACAACTGTGTCATCAATAGCTACAAGTATTTTACTTATATTTAAGGTCTGCTTCTGGTCTTTATTAAATACTTAAAGATTGGAATATTTTAATGGATGTATATTTTTGACTAGTTGTTGAGTTAGGACTCTGCCTATGTTAATCTTGTCAAAATTACTTGCATTATTATTTATTGCAATAAAAAATTTTTAGTTTGACTGTAAGATACATACTTTTGTAAACATCTATAGTTTTTTATGGACAACACTTAAGAGTAAAAATTCTTTGATACACCACTTACTATCACTAAAAAAAATGTAATTCCAAATGACAAAATGTACTACATAATATGTGTAGAATATAAAGTTCTCAATATTGAATTGTTTTTAACATTTAATTCCGTTTGAGATAAGAAATAGATAGAAAAAATAATTTAACTCTGATAGTTAATATTATGTATAAACTGAAAAATGCATTAATTGTCTATTTATAGCCTTATTTATGTTAGATGTTTATACGACTTATTTTAATACATTGACTGGTGGTTAACTTTTAGCTTATTATTTACAAACAAATGGCTTTGTAAACATTTACTGAGTTAATATACTATTAGCTATTTTGTTTGTGATTTTTTTATAGTTATGTAATACAAAACAAGTCTTAGAGTTAAAATAAAACAGTAAAATAAAGTTAACAATAAAAATAAAAAATAATTTGCCTGAAAATCTAGGGATGACATTTGACCAAGATTTATTAGGGTTAAAATTAAAAGATTAAGATGGATACATTTTTAATTTTATAGAAGAGGATTAAAAAAAAAAAATATATACATTAATAACAAAAATATTTTATATAATATAAATGATTTATTTATTTTTTCATAATTTATTACATACAATAATAATAATAATAATAATAATAATATTATATATATATGTATGTATGTATATATATATATATATATATTTCTTCATAATTAAATTTATTAGGTAAGATCCTAAATTTATATTAAAATATATTAATAACCAATAAACAATAAACATACCTGTAATTCAGACACTAAAATAACATAATTCCATTTAGGGATGTAACATAATTCTAAAATAAAGGTTTGAGTACAATGAGATTTTTAAAATAAAAATAAAATAGAAATGACAATAATAATTATCAAAAATATTAATAATTGCTAATAAAAAAAATTATCTATTTTAGGGTATTGTCGAAACAGACACATTAATTGAAAATTATATAGAAATCATCATTGGCAAAAAAAAATAATAACGTTTAGAGGCATAATCGGTGAAGATGTTGACTTATTCTAATTTAAGTATTTCTGATTTTACCTGGCACATAACTTTTATCAATCACTGGTTCTTGTAGGAATATATGAAGACATCTTTCATTTTGTGCCAATGGATGACCAGCAATTCTGAAGAAAAAAAATAAATAATAATGATAGATAACATTATTATAACAGATAAAAAATATCTAAAATTATATATTCAATAATATTGTTAAATACTATAAATTATAATTTTTATTTTTAAATAATACAGATATCAGAATATATAATATATGTAACAAACATTAAATTTAGTATTTAAATATATACTTGTTTATAAAAACTTCAAGGCCTTTTCGTCGTTCTTCAATAAATTCTTCTTCAAATATACCATCATCATTTCGGAATGGCATTTGTCTTTTCCATGCCTTACCGGGTAAAGGAGGTACAACAATCTGAAAAATATCGTAATTTGGTTAGAAGAAATATAATATAAAGTGATTTATTAAATCACTATTTCAGATGGGCTAGGAACCAGGATAAATTAAATTACTGCGCCATTCTGAGAAATTTATAAATTTGTATTCTATTCAAACAAAATAAAAAATAAAAATAGTTATAATGTAATAAAAAATAATACATAGTGTAATAATAATTTCATTATTTTAAAACCACACATCACATACAGCACTGACGGGAGGTTTTGCGGGCCTGGAGCAAATTTTTTTCATAGACTTTAAACATTTTTTTTCGTAAGTCAAACAAAAATTCTTGACAAGTCTTAGTACCTATTTACTTGTATGACATTTTTTTCTATTTCTATTTTTTTATTTTTATGTACACAATTAAACAAACATACATTCTTCAATATGTATTTATTTTTTAAAACTTTAAACTACAAATATTATTTTACTTCTATACTCTATTAGATATATTTTTATATTTAAATAAAATATGTAAAAATTAAATATTTAGGTAGGTACATTAAATACAAGTTTTAGATGAAAATTAAAAAAAATATTAAAAATTTAAACATCAAAATTGTTTTTTTAGACTTAAGCTGCAGCAAAAATATCAATCAGCTCATTAAAATCTAACGAGTCAGTAACTTCTTGTTCAATTGATAGAGTAGCTAAGCTTGTAAGTTAACATTGTAATAAAGTACTTCTCAAGAAGTTCTTAATTATTTTTAACTCGGAAAAACTCTTTTCTACACCAGCAGATGTTACTGGAATTGAGAGTATTATTTGGAGTGCAATCGAAATATTTGGAAAAGAACTAAAACATTTTTTTAGTACTGAAAGAGGCTAAAAGCTGTCGTTTCTCCAGAAATCACAAAACATAAAATTAGTAATTTTTTATAGAGTTCATAACCATCTATATGACTATATCTTTTAATTCACCATCAGTTAAAACGTTTTATAAATAATGACAACATTTTCTTAACTTCTCTTTTCCACGAATTGTATTTCGTTAATCTGATATAAAAAAACCAAAGTTATTATTAAACGATTAAAGCTCATATTAATGGACACGATATTTTGATTAACATTAGTTAAAAAATAATCTCGATAAAAAATAGTTTCTTTATTTTTAGATAGTTCGTCTTGAGTTTCAAATGAAAATATATATATTTTTTTAAATCAGTAGAAAACCTATAGCCTCTGATAAATCTTTAACAGTTGTTTTTGTAGATTTAAAACCATTTTTACTTCTCACTCGTTTATTATATTTCTATTATTAGCTGATAATGTTCATCTATAATTATTATAAATTCAAGACAACAATCGTGTTTCAATTTTCTATCAACATTGTAATTAAATATTCATCAAATTATTCATAATATAACTAGTATATTGGTTAAATATTTTAAGATATGCGCTTCATTAAAAATCCACAAGCAATACAGACGAGACGCACATTTTTAATTTAAAAAAAAAATATGGGCTTATATATCATTAAATGCCATGAAAGGCGCGGGCCCTTAAAATAGCGAGACCTTGCTCCTTCTGTCCTGCCCTTTATACTGCACATATATATACGTACAATTTTAAAATATTTTTGAATATATTCTGTTTTAAAATATAATTCTTCCAATATAAAGCAATGAGCAATGTAAACAAAACGTCAAATTACATTATTCCAGCTAAGCGGGATTGACAGTGTTACCATAATCATGATAAATAAATATTTGTTTTTTTATTATGAATACGGCCAAGCCGTTCGATGATAACAAAAAAGTCAGTACTCAACTCACTAAACTCGATGTTCATTTGATATTTTATTCAATATATAAGTTGTAAAATATAATTCCGCTATCTGTTCAATTCTTATTATGTATATTTTGTTAAGTTAAATAAATTTCTGTTGTTATCATTTACGTAGTATATAAATATTTTAAAGTAAAAAACTAACGTCATGTAATTTAATAAGTCACTCGTTTCTTTATTTTTTTAATTGAAATTGAAACAAAAAAAATGACAACTATAGATTTTACAGCTATACCAAATACATCGGCAAATGAGATTCAAGAAAACGTTACTACACATAATATTCTTGTTTTATCATTGATATCTCATTACATCAAAGAATATGCAAAGATGTATCCAAGACCTATTGACAGGTCATTAGACCATGTACGAACATCAAAGTTTCATCGTACATTTAGTATGCTTGCTTTGCACTTAATTCAATGTCCAGATCTCTCATTTAGTGAATTAATAAATTTAATGTCATGTGGAAAATACCAACTATCCAAAGTCTTCATTCAATCTTTTTACGCGGAAGTATATGAAATGACTACTACTGATCTAAGTATGGTAGTAGAAATGTTCAAAAATTTAGATGGTTGTTCATTAGAAGGTGGATTACCAAAAGTACATCAAATAAAAATTGTTAATGGCAGTAGTCCAGTTGGCATATTTTTACGACGTGTAATGGTATTTTTCAATAAAATGCAGTTTTTACAGACTGAAGCTGTAATAAAAGAAGTGAAAAATCATTGCATTGCAGAATTTAAAAAAATTAAGGTAAGAATATGACAAATTAGATTTTGTTTAATAATATTCATAAAATAAAATTATTTTTCAGGGACTTAAACCACAGAAGAAGAAAATAGTATCAAATAAAAAAGAAGATCTTAGTCCAGAAGCTACAGAAATGATAAAAATAACTAAGACAATCAATGAAATTATTGAAATGATTAACATAAATTATCAGGGAAGTTCTAATCAAAATAGTAAGTATAACAAAGCACGTTCTTGGTCTCCACGACAAGTAGAACTGTTTATTGCACAACAAGTTAAACTATTGAAAATCAATGAATCTGTAGCCCTTGATCCCCCAACTCTACAACAAAAACTAAAAGAAATTCTAAGAGCCAATCCAGACCATTTTGATGTACATTATTTAAATTATTTAAATTGTTTAAGAGTGAAAGAATACTGTGGAGCAGTAAATAGTGTACAACACTATTTTAGTCGTCAAACTTTTAGAGTTATAAATGTAGATGAAAAAAGTAGAGGTTATAGATACACATCGCTTAATATGGCCATATTAAATGCATTTTTTAATCATAATGAAGAAGCTATAAGTTATTTGAAAGAAAGTATAGCAGTAGCTCATCAAGTAAATGATCACGTTTGCTTACAGCATGCACTCATGTGGATGTATACATTAAGTAAAAAGAACAAGTCAACCATGTTGAAATGTTCTGTAACTAGAAGCAAAGAATTAGAATTGCATCAAATCACTTCATTTAGCTTACAATCTATGGCTCAATATTTGGTAGAAAATGCTGAAACTCCAGCAATAGTTTTCGAAATATTAAAGAAAAGTGAAATATATAATTACTTTAATGGTTTGACTGATTTGCGTATGACAAATAATATACAAAAAGCAGCAATTTGGAATACATATGGTTATCAACGTATATCAACAATACATTCTTTATTAGTTTTAGAACATGACCAATGTAACAAAGAAGTTTATAATATAGAGAGCAAATGCATAGCCATGTGCAATATTATTAATGATTTGATTGCTCATGGAGATTATTATCTTGCTCCCATATTAATTAATGAAGTATCCCATATTTTTCCATACACACATTGTAAATTCTGGATTATGGCTGAACAGTATTTAAATTTCACTTTAGCAATGAATAGAGAAGAATGGCCTAAAGCAGAATTAGCAGCTAAACAAATGGCTACAGTAAATGTAACGGAAAGTGCATTACGATTGGGAGAGATGTATTTGAAAAAAGAAGACTTTGTTAAAGCTACAAATATGGTGAAAGAGTTAATGGAAGATAATGAAGAAAATATGGTATTAACTAGATTGCGGGCATACTTAATTGTTGCCAAAGCAAATGAAAGTGCAGCACTAAATTTACTTATGGATGCAAAATTGATAGCTATTCAATATCATTTGATGTACATGACAGCAATTATAAATGTTGAGATAGCAATTGTATTGATGAAATATGATTTTCCTCACAAAGCTTTAAGATTATTGCAAGAAACAAAACAACATATTTACTGTGGCATAAATGTTTATAACAAAGCATTTACAGATTTACAAATAATTAAAGCAAAAATGATGGTTAACATAGTCGATGAATTTGATCACAGTAATGAGTTTTTACACAAAATTTATAATAAATTAAATAAAATTGCAGAAAAATTTAAATCAATAGAAGCTATAACAGAGTTAAAAGAAATAACATATTTACAAGCACTAATAGCAGATGAATTGGATATGAAACAAAACCGAAACAAGCATGCAATGGAATTCAGACATTTGGAAGAATACAAAATTCAACAGTAATGAACGATACAATACAAAATAATTAAACATATTTGTATAATTTTTTATGCTAAATAACATTATTGTATTACATTTTCACTAATATAATAACTTGTAAGTTGTAACTAGGAAATGATGTGCACTTTGTTCTTTCAAATTGAAAATAAATAACATTTTTTTTTATATGTCTATTAATTATTTTTGTACACAATTATCTAACTAAACCTTTTTTTTAAACTACGGAGATTACTATACAAAAGTAAAATATATGAGTTAAGTTTTTTAAAGAAGCAGAATAAATTTACATTAATATAAGAAATGTGTAAACATGTTTTAAAAGTATTATTATTAAAATGTTATATCGTTATCACTTAAATATAGTTTATGATTAACTATAAGAAATATTAAATAGTTAGATAATTAAAAAATGTATTATTGATAAATCATGCTGGTAAAAATGTTATGAAGTTAAACGTGACATTCTTAATTATATTTTTACACTAAATAGGTTAATGTACAAATATTTTAATAAATAAGTGTGAAAAACAAATAAAAAAATAAAACATTTTTATTTTCATTCTTCGTATTATTATTTATTATGTAATAAAGATATGTTATTTGTTTAATATAATTTTAAAATGATAAGTTATTTAGAGAAGTCACTCAAAAATCATAATTTGATGAAAATCAATTTAGAATTTGAATAATTTATTTATTTAAACTAGCCTTAAACTTACACAATAATTTAGTGGTTCATAACTGGTGTTCTGTGGACTTAGAATACGTTTTGCTAACATTTTAAAATCAGTGGAAATCCATAGATTAATTTAAATTTTAAGTTTCATTGATTTAACATTTTGACATTTATTGACTGCTTAGACAAAATAGTGTAAGATATGCATAACTGTATAGAATCATTAAGTTTAGTTGGTTTATTTTTGAACACAAAAACATTATTGTTAACCTTTGATGATATTTTGTGTACTAAAATGGCGTATTTAGCTGATATCTTCAATTATTTAAATCACATAAATGTTAGTATGCAAAGTAAAAACAAAAATTTTCTAACATTCATGGATAAACAATAAATATTTTAAAAAAATAATCTTTTTTGAGAATGCATATAATGCAAAAAATATAATACAAATGTTTCCTTCAATTTAACATAATGACATAATTCTTAATACAACACAACATTTAGCATTTTATTAGAAGAAAAAAAATCACAAAACACTTTCCTGCATTGGATATAGAAGAGTATGGGATTAAAAATCCATTTTCTACCATCATCATGTAAAGTTATGAATTTATATTAGTAGAAGAGAAAAAATCATTACAATATCAACAAATTGAATTCTCAAAACTTTTTTTTTTTAAATAACTGTTGAAGAATTTTGGACTTCCATTTGAATCAAGTTCAAAGTAATTAAAATGTATTAAATTTTCAACATTGACGAATATTAATAAAAAGAAACGAGAAAGGCTGATAAACATAAAAGAGGAAAGGAGAGTAACAATATCCTACTTATAGCCAGATATTGAAAATATTTGTAAAAGCCATCAGGCTCAAATATCTGATTAAATATACAAAATATTCTATTTAAAATTGTATCAATTAAGTTTATTATTTTTTAGTGATTTGCATGTATGTAAATTGTAAAATGTTTTAAGTTATACGTACTTTGTTTAATTTAAAAAAAATTATATGAATACTGTTTTATATTATAGCTAAATTGTGTTAAAATCTTATAAAACGTTAAATTCCATCATTTGAAAAAGATTAAGAACCACTGCTCTAACAACTAGCAATATCTTTTAAATTCCTAGCTCATCTTTAAATATATCTAATGATTATTTTGGAAGAATAGTTAAAGTTTTTATTAAAACTAATGAATATTTTAAAGATATTCCCAATGAAAAAAAAATCATTTGATAACATAATAACTTACAATACAATAAATACTTGTGGGAAATATTAGTTCTAGATTTGTTTGGCTATTATAAGTAATATAACACTTCTAAGAAACAGGATTATGTAGTTTACTCACAATGAATTAAAGATTATCCTTAATCAAGAATAATTACTAATATTTTCTATCAAAAGTTAAACCATATTTTTTGAAAAATAAATTACTAAACCACAAGCTTACATTTAATTAATTTATTTTGAATTCAAGTTTTCATAAATAAACACAATCTAATAATAAATTATTTTTTTTTTTTTTATTAATTTATCAAGCACTCAGTTTTATCAGATAAGCTTGTTGTTGGAAAAAATATAATATTAACTTAATAGCAATATAGGTATTTATCCTAAAATTATGTAATATTGCCACTAGAATAAGTTATTAACATAAGTATTAAGTAAGAAGTGTACATTACCTTACTGTCTCTTTCTAGTTCATTGCGCAACCATTCAAAATCACTATAACGTCTACGAACACTGGATTCTTTGACCTTAAACACTGGCAAGTTTGTCTGTAAACAATCAAACGATAGTCCCATGTGCGATATTAGACAATATGTTCCTCCGCCCAACACAATGATTAAAAGGTATAATACAAGATAACTCACTCTCATGCGAACTTCATAATCTGTGTAGCGTTTTTTGGCCACACCGTGAGTTATTGGATTCAGTATATCAATTTCCAAGAAATTGGCTGGAGCTGCATAAGCATCGTCCAATGTTTGCTTCTTGACGTTCAATCGCCTGGTAGCTTCAGCCGTGTCGACCATTGTTTTCTTTTGATGTTATGGCCGTTTCTAACACGGCAGTCAACCGAACGTTGGGTTGCGATCGTACTTACGAGATGAGCAAAAATTTGTTTTTTTATTTTGCGTGGTGGAGGAGTATCTAGGTGTCCTTGGTACCAGTACACCAGAACAGGAGCAGATATCGATGACGTAACAAAAAAAAAAAACCGGCAGACTTGAATAAACAAAAAAAAATACCAGAAATGAAAAAAAACGATCGCACAATAATTGGTATTTCCTGTTGATCCGAAGAATTCTTGTCGACAATGTCGTCGACCTACGACGTGATAACGCAACAATCGAATTACAATATTAAAATATTATATTGTGTATAACAACACACAATATAATTCGCAACAATAATAATAGTAGACTAAATTTTTTAAGTTGGGAGTTGAGAATGTTGAGATGATTTAGGCGTCAATGATAATGGATTTATAACTTACAAAACAAATAAGATCTGTGAATCATCAAACACAACCACTGACCACTGGTTACTGTCACGGAAATCAGGAGATCGACGGACGAGATAACGACGGCTGACATCACAGGTTAGCCAACCAACTAAATACGGATTGAACTGATAATGGATGTTGATAACAGTGAGAGCGCGCGCGCGACACGGCTATTGCCGAATGTCGAATAGGTACCGATAAAAATATTTACTAAACCAAACAAGTATTAAGTAACCCATTGCGACGATTTAATATATTTTATTTGTTAATATTATTTGATTTTTGGGATTAATTACTCAAATTATCTGTGCCTTACTAATTTTTTCTAAGAATTTTCGTCTTTCGGACGACATTCATCATCAAAATCGACTGATCATGAACCAACAAAACGTACTACACTCTTCGTTGTGTTTTTGATATTTCCTCCACTAAAATAATATTAATTAATATTTTCTGAAACGTTATTTGGCTGAACAATCGCCATGGATTTTTTCTTGTTACTAGCAATCATTGCGGTGTTCTACGTTGCTCTTCTGTTTTTGGACTTGACATTCAAGGTGGGTAATCTATTGCCATGATTTTGCTGACCACATAATATGATGATTGCCACTGGCTAGTAATTAATCGTTGTTGTCGATAAACTGATCTGAATTCTAGTTAATAGATATCAAAGCAAGACACTAATTGATTAATTTGACAAATTGTTGAAATAAAATGTTTAACAGATATTTTTTTATCATCTTTTATAATATTTTTACATCTTTTTATTTTAGTCATGTTCACACTATCCGTATTTGATGTTAATACAAAAGACAGGATTAAGTGTTGGGCTTTTTCAATTACGATGGTATACAACTTCTTTGAATCGACTAATATTAAAAATGTCGTTTTGGCAACCAAAATTCCAAACCAATTGGTTCACTTTTGGGTCTTGGATTACCATTTGTCTAATCATACCATCTATATGTCTGGTTATTGTATCTTCTGCCCAATTGTGTAAAAAAATATTTACAGAGCCTACTAATGAACCATCAGGCAACCAGCAAGATACATTTCTTGAACCGATAGTAAGGAAAATATCTATTTAAATTCTATTATTGTACACAGCATTTTTCTTAGTTAAATGTTTTTTCAGGTACCTGGGATCAATTTACCAATGTCAGACTTAGGCTATTATATAACTGCACTTATGTTTTCTACAGTTTTCCATGAATTAGGACATGCATTAGCAGCAATCAGGTATTTAATTTTTTTATACTATTACATACTTGTATAAATATAAGTTTTTTAAAAACTTATTAAATGTGAGTTTTTATTTTTTATAGAGAAGACATGCATGTGGAAGGTGTTGGTTTGATGTTTATTTTGATTTTACCTGTGGCTTATGTCTATTTGGATGATATTACCTCCTTGCCAAGCAGTAAACAACTACGAGTAATGTCAGCCGGCGTATGGCATAACATAGTTCAAGCTCTAATGGCATATCTTGTATTATTGCTCTTACCATATATGTTGTTTCCATTTTTCACGGTTGGCCACGGTGTCATGACTACCAAAATAAACCAGGTTATAAGCAATTAAACAAATATTTTAATTTTGGTTTCATTATTTTACTTTTGTTTTAAATAGAAATACTGTGTACTTAGGACCATTGCATTATAGAAATTTAACACTAACATATTTTTAATATTGTAATTTTTCATATATTATATGTTCACAAGTCTTAAATTATAGGAAGAACTAAAAATATTCTATTCTTAATTTTAGGACTTTGGTTTTGTATGATAGTGAGTACTCTAACCATATCACATAATGTAATATAAAAAACAAAGATTCTGCTGTGCTTTATGACAGCGGTATAATTTTAAACATCTATTTTAAAATATTTTAAGATTGTTATTATTTATTTATTTTAACAATTGAGGACAGTGCTCTTTGAATATAATGTTGGTTGACTTAAATAAATAACAATATGTAGTAGACTTGATAATCAAATTAAAAAATAAAATCATAAAGTGTAATATGTAGTTATGTGAAAATAAATAAGTAATATTTTTTCTTTTAGAGATCAGGTGTTAATGGGCAAGGAGGATTAGTAACTGGTGATATTATTACAAAATTAGGAAATTGTGATGTGCACGATTTTGTGTCTTGGATAAATTGTTTAAATTACACTAAAACTAGTGTAGATTCTGGATTTTGTCTATCACCAGAATTTGTTCAACATCACGATGAAACAAAACCAGGTAAATATAAATTTATGATTATCAAAATATTTTATATTACTCAATATTTAATAATTAAAAAATATTATTTTAGTGCATTATGTAGATGAATATATAATTAACTGCTGTGATCCAAATTCAAAGACCAATTTGTGCTTCGAGTATATTGAATCATTGTCTAATCCTCAAGAATTACCAAATCATTCCTGCTTAAATGTTAGAAAAGTTATAGAAAGGTCAACATCACCCTGTGATGCTGATAACCAGTGTTCATCAGCTCATTGTTATTATCCTGCGATTCGCAAGAATCACAAACTTGTGGTTATCAAACGTCAGAACAAAAACGAAGTTCTATTCCTTGGACAGCCTATAGAACTACAATATATATCTGTTACTCAATATGTACCTAAGACTGATTATCTATCATATAGTGTACCTGAATCTATTGAAAAATTCTGTAAATACTTAATAATGTTTGCAGGAGGTTTAGCTGTTATAAATGTAATACCGTGTTTTTATTTTGACGGAGAAAAAATATCAAGGGTGTTAGTGAATACAATGCTGAAAGAACACGTTGAACATTTAAGTGTTCGATTAGCAATTTCTATTTGTTTAACAATTTTTGGATCTTTAATATTGATTATTTATATGATATTAGGGTTTTGGTCTTTGATTAAAATAATAAACTAGACATTTACTATTTATCTAAACAAATATAAATGGTTCCTAATTTCTACTAAAAATTAAGGAGAACATTATAATTTATATAAAATTCAAAAAATGTATTGATTTTATGTTTGTATCAAAGTTGATAAGAAATGTATAATTTTTATACTTTTATTACGTGACTTATTGTAATGGTAGATTATTTTTTTTTTTATGTAATAATGTAATCTTAAGAAAGTGCTTGTTCTATATTTCTTAAAGAAATAATATACTATACATTGTCTTACTGAAATAATTTTTTATGTTAATGGTTATAACTTATTATTATTATTATATTTATTTAACGACTGAAAACGTGTATTTATTATTATAGAATATTATAATCTTTTAAATTAGATCAATTTTTAGTAAAATAAAAATAAATTATTGTTAACCTTAATTTATTGAATTGTTACATATAGATATCATATTATGTCTAAATATATTTGTGAAATATCCTAGTCTTAATTTATTTATTTTGTAAATTTTAAGTAGGTATAAAACAAGTATCTACATAGTATATGTACACATAATATTAAATACTATTATTAAAACAATATATTTATAGTCTCTTATACCTATAAAATATGTTATTAGTGATCATAGTTCTTAAGTAACGAACAATTTTAATTTGTACACTTTTAACTTTTACCAATAATTTTAAATTATTAATTAATCAATTGAATTTATAAAAGTTACATAATATTCTGTTATTGCTGTACTTGAAATTAATCTTCAATAAAATTGTACATTTCATTTTTACACAATGTTATCTTTTTCATACTATAAGTTTTTTTAGAAAATTTACTATAAAGTTTATTTTATTTTTAGTTAATATCTATATTAAATGCATTTTTCTAAAATAACTAAATAAGTTAGAGTTGCAATTTATTATAAGTTTTCTGAGGTAACAATAAAGGTGAGATATACACAATAATAATAATCAAAAATAGAAGTAAAAGCGAACAAAATAAAGTATATTTTAAATATAATAATAATAATAGTAATACATGTCGAAGAGCTGAAATATGTGGTACATATGTTTATATATATATTATATATAATCTCTAAGTGTACTACATGTGAGGAGTTTCCATATAATATTCTTGTGGACGAATTCTCATGTTTGTAAGATTAGTGGAAACCATGTAACCGGCATGGTGGTGGTGGTGGTGGTGGTGATGGTTTGGTACCAGACAGTTAGAAACTGACATCGACATTGAAGGATTACCATGAGTATGACTCCCTGCCGAATAAAATTTAAATATGATTATAGCAACATTTTTCAATCCATAGCAAATCTTTTAGATTCTAAGTGAAGCGATGAATGTATTGATTTTATCATGATGTATTTTATTTTGTATATTATATGTAAATGTTAGGTAGTCGATTAAAATCCATGAAATGCTTCGATTTTCAACTTTGTGAGTTGTTTAGAACAAAAAAAATATGGATCTAATTTGTGGTATAGATAAAAAATCTATTTTATGGTGTCATCTTAATTTATTTATTTATCAGGGTAAATAATATTCAATTGATTTTTAAAATAACTTTTTAGTATACATCAAATATTATATTTTTGATGACTTGTAGTCATAATACTAACAACTATACGCTGTATATTGTGATATATTAGCCTAGTCGATAGTATATTCTTATTGAATTATATTTATTATATTTTAATAAGTCTATAAAAATGAATTAATAATTAATATTTCTTTGAGTATTATATACCTAAACATCTAGTATAGTATCAATTAATTGTTTGAAGTCGATATCTCTTAATGTAATATGTAATATATTTATAATATATATATATATTATATGTATATATAATGAGTATAATGTACATATTATATTTACGATAGAAAATTGTAATAAATAATTTTGACAGGTCAAAAATAATAATTTATATAAATTATATATAATTTAAACATATATATTATACATAAATTTGAATTGAATCACTGGATATAGTTACCTGTGGCGGAGACTGCTGTAGGTAAGAAAGCCGGGTAACTCGACGAGTGTTGGAACATTCCGCACTGTGATAAACCGTTTGATTTCCATGCCGAGTACTCCAGGAGTCCGCCAAAACTGGAGCCTATACAATATTCATAGACATATTTTGAATAGGTTATTTATATATCTTTAATAATAATAATTATTATTATATAGTTACAATTTAAAAGCGTGTTCGTATTTTGTAAATTGTATCATTATCGTCACTAAATTACTTACTTATTACCTAATTTAAGAACATATACGAATCAGATTGTTATCTGAATAATAATAAATTATTATTAATTTTTATAAAATAATTAAAACAAAGTTAATGTTTTTTTTTATTTTTATTAATTATATTAGGTACCTACATAATATTATGTTGATATGATTATTACCACTATTTTTGATTATACAATTAATCAATGATCAATATTTATTTATTAATCATCCATCTTTAAATCCTAAATCTTAATTTATAAATATATATATATAGTTTGTTTTTACTTTTTACTGTACAAATACAATATACTATATATACATTTTTTATAAGTATTATACTCACCAGCTGTAAACGGTGGTTCTGAGTGAACGGCATTCGTATTCGATCTGGGTAAAAGGGGTTGTTCCACGTTCGGGGACCTGCAATCGGGTGCAGTCGATAGTGTGGAATTATTCCTCGACAGACTACTTCTCTCGTTCCGTCTGAATTTTGCCCGCCGATTTTGAAACCAAACCTGATCAGACGCACAATGTCTAAATTGATGGTTTATAAGTATATGCCCAACATAATAGTTAATATTATGTACATTATACATTTGTGCATGGCACACCATATATATATATATTGTTTTACAGAAGATCTGATCCTTAATCCGTCACTTTTTGTTACTATTCAATAAATATGCAGAATTTGAGAAGGGGGATAATTGCCTATCTTGATAAGTTAAAATGATACTTTTGCTCCAACAAATACCAGAAAACAGTTAGGGTGTGAAGGGTTATAAGAAAAATGAATGTACGAGTATATCTACCTATATTTCATTGAAAACTTGTTTTGTCAATTTTGTCAATTTGTTTTTTCCTATTTTTAATGTATTTAATTTCTACACACTCTTGTATATTTGTCATGAGTCACTTATAAAGTTTAATACATATACCATATACATATATAGACTTATGCATATACATGCTGCAAGAGTAAGAAAGTAGGTGTGTATAAATGTATATAAATAATAAACATAATATATATATATGTAATAAGCACTGCGCGGAGGTTTATTTTTTCCACACGTACAATAATAGGTAGTAATAATAGTATACCCTACACATATACACGCTTGAACAGATTGCACAGTGCTTATACAGATATGTAGGTATGTTGTAACATACGTCTCTCATTCGAATGTTAATTGATTCGGACTTGAGCCCCGCACACGTGCAAGAACACGGCGAACAATCCACGGCTTATATTATACATTTATACATATGCTTTGTAATAATATAATGTTATAATTGTGTATAACTGCCGCAGCGGCGTTCCTCTGTGTGCACTATATTCAGTGTGTTGCAGGGCGCTCGTCGTCACTTGGACTCGAGCCCTCCGCCCGCGCGTCACGAAATCACTGGTCCGCGAATTCCGCCGGGCGGACTTGACAGCCTCCTCTCTGTAGACCGAACTTCCTTTGATTTACCGTGCGTAGGTATACATAGATCATATATTTACACACACACACACACTAATACATATACGATACTTGTTGAACGGGCGCCGCGGCCGTCCAAATTAGGGACACATGTCAACACGTGTGTGTGAGAGAGACTTGAGTTGTGTGAGAGATACTTGATTTGTGTGTGTGTGTGTGTGTGAGTGTGTTTGTATATACATACGAAACCCACACCCCACATTGGCCACGTGCTCGTCTGTCGTTGTCGAGTATTATATATGTATAAAATATATGTGTGAGACTATACGAGATGATCGCGTCTCTGTCAATTAGCTAAACGCGCCGGATTAAAAGTGCGACGGATGTGCCGGCAACAAGTGCGCTCCTAGCTCGAGTGGCGTACGCGAATAGAATAGGCGCATGATATTTATCGATTATAATATTCATAAAAAGTATCATAAATTAATTGTATAAAATATAAATAACATATATTAATTTTTCAGATTACAATGTAAATTATCGTGCAGAAAAGAACTTATATTGTTGTATAGTTTTGGTATTTTTTTATAAAATTAAATTATTAATATAATATAATATACGAGTATTCATTGAAAGAAACACATAAAATGGATATAGATTTTTATGAACAAGTATGTATATATGTAACTATGCATGGGCGTGGAGTGGCGGATCGGGTAATCGGGACAATACCCGGTGGCCGGACTTGTTTATACAAGCAATGGTTTGATCCTACAGGTGTGATGAAAATACGTAATATTTTGTTATCTTAGTTAACTTCAGAAATTACGAAAACAATTTAATACTATTTTACAATAGAGCTAAGAAGAATGTAAAATGTGTATGATAATAAATTAGTAATAGCTTCTACTAATATTTAGGCTAAATAAACCGTTTTATACTTCTCCCAATTAAAAAATGGTTAGCAATATAAAAATTCAAGAAAATGGTATAAAATGAAATTTGAAAAAAATGGCCTGAAAATACCTGTTTTCCACGTAAGAGTTGTTGAGTCACTCGCCTCTATGTATTTGTAACCAGTAAGCAGTAACGCACACAGGGGGATTAATAACCGAAAATCTTCCGAAAATATATTATTCCTCTATGAAAATTTATTCGTATAAAGTACTCCTTTTCTGGGATTAGCATAGGTAGTACCTACATTTAACTTACGAAAATTATTTTTAGCACAAGGTATATCCCCTTCTGAAAAAGTGTGAAATATTAATTTTAAATAATATTTATACTATTCCGGTGTATTATAATATGAACAGTGTTTATTAATAATAGTGTCACATTTTATTATTTCAATTAGTTAGATAAAAATGGAATATAATAAAAGATGCTATTCAAAATGTTTAAAATAAATGATTAACATCAATCAATGAGGAAAAATATCTGTGATTTCGTTTAGAAATAATAAATAAAACTAAAATTTTTTATATATCAAGATATCTATAGTTATTAGTTACCTAGTTTAAATTTATAAATTGCTGAATTATAATCTACTAAAGGATGTGGCGTAAATTGGGTTCAATTTCTGATGGTGCAAAGGCATATTCTCCGGAGCTATTGAATTGGCTCTCTAAGTTCCTAAGCAAAATCCTTCCCAATAAACTATATATTTTTCCATATATTTCTTTAAATAATAAATACATTTTGAATTATTTTAGCAGTAAAACCTTTATAATTATAATATTAATAAAAAAAACAATCAACAATTTATTTTTATTTATTTTAAGTTGAGACGACGTTCCTGTTTATATGTTATATATTTCAATGATTTTCTGGTGGTGCAAAAACATACCTTTGAACCACCACATCTTAAATGTGGTGGTGCAAGTGCTGCATTTGCACCACCCAGTTTACGCCACTGACTAAAGGCTATACATTGAAACTATGAGTATAATAATTCATAAACAATAAATTATACAAGTTATACAGATTTTAGCTAATGTAATGTATTATGATTTGTTATATAATTATAGAAGTCAATTGATAATACATTTATAAATAAATAACTAATACGTTGTAGGTAGGTACCTATTTTAATAATATAGTTATCCAAGTAACTGACTTATATATCTATTGCTTATGAATTATGATAGTTATATTTGTATAATATGCTTACTTGAACTCTGGCCTCAGATAGACAAACTCTTCTTGCCAGTTCTTCTCTAACAAACGCGTCTGGATAATGTGTCCTTTCAAAGACTTTTTCTAATGCTCGCAATTGACAACTAGAAAATGTAGTACGATTTCTTCTCGGCTTGTTTTTCCGTTGACCATCTGTTTCTGCAGAATTCGTTTCTAAGAAGAAAGTTACAAATTATAATATTATATTCACTTAGGTATCACTAACGACACTAACTCTATCAATAGTATCAATACTAATAATTTCGTTTATGAATGTTATGAGTTTATGAAAAATTTAATACCAACGAATACTATATTATAATAATAGATAACCACATCTATAAATAATGTGTAATTTTTAATAAATTGATAAAAACTTAAAGACAAACATATATGTGTTTTATTATTAAAGGCATACATAAGTTAATTTTAATAGTGATTCCTATATATTTAAATGTATAAATATATTATCTTATATATATATATATATATATATATATATATATATATATATATATATTTATTTATTTATTACCTATATACTTAAATATTAATGATATTGCTGTTATATTTAAATATTTTAAGATAAATAATAGTTTATGATTTTGTCTTATGACCTAAAATTATTTTCCTGTATTTTTTTATAATTTAATATATAACTTATAAGTATATATTATATTATTATTAAATGTATATATTAAATTCAGGCACTTCTCTCGGTCGTCGTTGTGCTAAAAAAACATCATTTCAAACTTTTTGATGTTAATAATTAATATCACAAATACAATGAAGTAAAATAGGCCTTAATTGCTTTAAATATTTTCATCAGTGCATATAAATTAAGCTTACCGTGAAATTAAAGCGGTCTACCGTTATAGACATAAATATTATTATTATGGTTATAAAAGGAGTTATACAATAATATTTCATTAATACGCTTCATACTTATATAACATTATAAAACCTATTATAAGCCCAACAACACAATAACAATTATATTTAAAAATAAAAAGTAATTGTTATTTATACTCCTACTTACAAAATTGTTTTAATTTATATGATAATTATAAATAATTTATATTATATATCATATAGGTATCTAAACTAATAGAAATAATTGTACTAAATAATATAATATATTTATAGTTACCTAAAATGTAAATATCTTACAAGAATCCATTAAATAGGTACTTTATAAATTATATAATATGGAATAAATTAATATGACATACCTATAAAAGTTTAAGTTTCAATATTTTAAATGTTATAAAAACTATTGTTATTTGTTATAAGATAAATAGATAAAAATTGCACTAAAATTACACTAAAATTAATTTTAAAGAAACTATTTGTTTTATAAATTCTTTATTAAAATAAAGTAATAAAATACAACTAAATTAATTTTGTCAAATATCCAAGATTAAAAATGAAGAATCTTAATTAAGATGTATAAAATATTTGATGATTTTTCCGAGACCAAATGTATTTCAGCAATTCATTAGTAATGTTTTTTTAAATGAAATTTAAAACATCTGTTTGGATTAGCATACATACTTTAATTTACACGTTTTTTATTTAACAAGCTATAATACAAATTAATCAAATATTATTTGATTGTTTAAATTAATAATTTAAATACATAAAAGAATGATTATATTATTTCTCACCCACCCACGTTCAGTTCTAGACCACAATATTCTTTTTAATATCAATTACGTTTTTTAATTAATAGGGTAAAAATTAATTTAATAATGCATGCATGTATATATTTTATAAACCCGAGATGAACACATAGCTGAGAGGTTTAAATTTACAGAAGACTAATGCAATGGAACATGTCCAATGACACAAATGACGACGTTAGTGTTTTGGTCTATTAACCATATATTAGTTAACCGGCCTAATAAATAACATTAACGAAAACATAAATCAGACGCATTTTAACAACATCCCGAGCACGGCGTGTGCATGGGGTTTTTAAATTATTATGCATTTTCACGTGCTACCGTGATGAACCGCTCGTTTAAATACTTTTTTGAAAATTATTAACGTAAATTCCTTATTTGGTTGTTTGTTTTTCTTAGTGCTGTCTTTGTAATCAACTAGGTATATCTATTTTATTATAATTTTTTGTTTTTCTGAAAATAAAGAATTGTAAATTCCAATAACATCATCAGTACAACACGAATAAAAATGTGTTTTTAATTTTTTATAATATGCAATAACAATATAATTTTCAAAAGAATCTTAAACACGATCAAATAATTTAAATAATATGTGTTTATCAATATCATTGATAATTATCATATACCTGTATAGGTACCTCCATAATAAAAAATTTCAAAAAACATTATTTTTTGTCTACAATATTGAGTATTGTATTAACAATAATAACTAATAAATACTGAAAAAATTGCAACGATAATAACAATAATAAACAAAATAGGTACTTATAATAATTAAATTATAGTACTTAGACATTGCTTATTGTATAATAATAATTAGTATAATATAGATTATAGTATCTACATCAATTAATCGGATATATACGTAGGTAAATGACTGAAAGTTTGCATTATAATAGTTATTCACCATACAGTTTATTAGTATTTAGTAATCAGTATTATATACGCAGTTAAAGTATTTCGGATTCCAAAAAAAAAAGACGATGGACTTGGCGGATTATTATTGAAGAGATAGCTCGCGACATTTGGCAAGCATTGAACAATTAAAAATCGTTCGATCAATCGTCGAGACAAGTATACACGAATTCCTGACCTTTAAGTAACAGGCACGGAGACGTCGAAAATGTGGACGAGCAAGAAAAAAAATTACGATCTGGACATATGATAAAATGCATTTTTGCCACTGAGGGTACCTACCTATATTATACAATATCCACATATATATATAGTGACGGGCGACGACGAATGCGCTTTACTGCAGGCTTGTTAATTAATTCTTTAAAACCGCTATATATTTTACCTATCTATATCATCGTTGTAGATAGTGCATTTTTCTACTCAATATAGCCCGGATATTCATAATGATAATAATATGAGTTATTATCAATTATGTAAGAACTTCTATACTTTTCCGTGTATAATGAAACTGTGAAAAATTAAAATTTACCTATACTTATTGTCCATAGTCCATGAAGTCATCGTACAAAGATGATAGCAGAGATGTATCCTTATATCAATAGTCTGTGTTAGATTTCGGAGAACAATTGTTAAAAAGATCAACGAAATAATAAAAATGTACAAATCGTCATAAAATTTGCTTTGCTCGAGAAAAAATTAAGAATAACAGTTCCTCCATCGACACCGCGCCGTCCTAAATTACTGGCTACTGTATGACGAAATAACAAGACTCATATTAAAATAAAATTTATATATATTTTATTATTATGCATTAGATGTGACACATTAATATATCGTGTAACGCGTAGTATATATTATAATACATACAGTAGTACGGCGGCTGCAGGACTTACGGCTGAGCAGTCAGACGCTAGTCTTTGCAGCAGCGGCTAAATTTAAATCCATAGACGTCTGTGAATGCTAAATAATTGCTGACCATATTGTGCACGATTTATCTCCAGATCTTGTTAAAAATTTCTCGTCAAAACAATAATAAAGAATTTGAATTTCTATATATATTTATTATACCGCTTTCGAAATTAAAATCAGTACCTGGATAATATTATATAATATAATATACCTATATAATGTCCTATTTATTACGAATATTTTAAATTACTGCTGTTTTGTAATTTAATTAAACTGTGATAGAAAATAACTATCATTGAAAATTTTGAATATAATATTTAATGCGTGTATAGAAAAATAATAATGCCAATCTGTGTGGATTATCTAATTAATATGGTGTTGGAAATCGAACACTGATGGAGTTTTATTTCATAAAACAAACTGTTTTGTAAACGTTCCCTCCAAAAATATATACGTTAATAAGAGTTTATATAGTTATCAGAATCAATTTCATATTTTATATAAATAATAGTGTTTTGTAGAATATGCGGTGAAAGGTGACATTTTTTTCCTTCTAATTTGTCGAGTTATTTTTACTATAAATATAAAAATAAAATTTATCTTACAATTAAAAGCTTACCAAATCATTTACAACTGTGATTTGTAACGGCATATTTTGTTGACACATTGATAAATTATATTATTGTATTCTGCACTTTATTCAACAGTTTAAACATACAAATTAATTGTATGTGCATAACAGTTATACAGAAAAAGCTGCTGACAAATGTAATTAAACAACTACTAATTTATTAAATTTTGTTAAAATCAATATTAAATTTTTTCATGTAATATAGATATAGTTAAAAATAATTGAATGCAATTTTTTTTTTAAATTAATAAAAATAAAATGTATTAGGATTTAGGTTACACTGTCAGACGTCAATTTTATTATTTTAGTAAACGTTACTGTATATTGATATTTATGTATATAAAGGTATAAAATATAATATATTATAATTGCGTTTCTGTGTATACCACTGTCACTGTGTATTATATATTTATACGAATTGAGTTATAATAAAGCCCTATAACATTTTTGACATCTTACAACACATTATATATGTTATACACTTAAACTTTTTTACTTTATAGACCATTTATTATTTAATGGAAGGTTAAGTGTTAATGTAACATTATTAATTTTGTCGGCTTTAGTGTGAAAATCATTACTCATTAAATATAATAAAGTTAATGTAAGCATATTATTGTTTAATCGTTTAAATTTGATTTTATTTTATTTTCAATTCGTACGTTTAATTAAAAAATATTATTAATTTGTTTATTTTTATTACAACGACATTAAAATTACATTATACTGCAAGAATATTTTTTAAAACGATTTTGTCTAAAATATATTACCAATTATCCGTCAAAATATATATAACAGTAGCGTGCTGAAAATTTTTTAAACTCAATGGGAGAAAAACAAAAGTTTATAAGGATCACCACTTACCCAAAATATAGATTTTTATGTCCTATAAATCATTTTTTTACATTAAAAAAATAACTACATTGTTTTTATTACTATAAATGTTTTGTATTTTTAACATTTATCATACGACATACACCCACTAAGTTTAGACTTTAAGAAATCGTCTTAAAAATTCTAATGATAGATGTAATTAATTAGTAATAATAGTTTGTAATATTTTTTGTATTATACAAGTATGTTTATAATGCTTAACGGCAGACAGGCTTTTGAAACTATAATCAATCGTAATAAAATATTCGACGTATTATATAAGTAAGATTTAGTGTTTTATTTCTGACTGATAAAATGCATTTAAAATAACTGTAGTATAAAGTTATAATATTCTTTGTTTCCGTAGTATATTATACCTATACTACACGGCCCGCATTATTTTTTTGTTTGACATACAGAAATTCCAACGATGCAGTGGTTATAAAATAATAATTTCTAATTGAATAACTATTTGTTGATGTAATAAAGATATTGAGGAAGAGAACGTCAAAAAATTAAAAGGACCTCTCATATTTTCACGGTCTCGCTAGCATTTGTCACCGTATTATACAAATGTTTAATATAGCAAATGTGCGTTAGGTAGGTCCAATTTTTCGTTATTAGCTATATAGTATTAAAGTTAATTGACTTATAGAAAAATTTAAAAGTAATAATATCATTTTTGTTTGTACGTGGCTTTTTTTATAATTTTTCAATTTTTAGTATATATATTAAATACATTCGTAACAGTTATTTCTCACTTAAAAATCAAAGTATATCAAAAAACCAACGTGAAAACACAGATAATACGCAATTTCTTACTTTAAAGTTTGGTAATAGGTAAATTCAAATTCTAATATTTATCTAATCAATTTATTTACTCAAGTATTGATATCAAGAAGAATGGTTCTGCATGGTTTTCTCATGGTTTACGGGAAAACTATGAGTACATCATATATATATTATGCACAATTTAGGAAGGAAGTGGTTAGACTCTTGGAAGAGTTATAAGTTATAACTAGTTTTTGTCCTTCGAAAAAGCCACTATCAAATAATGTTTAATAAATACTGAAATGCCTTGCTTTAATATTCTTTTTTTTTTTTTTAAACACTTAAACGTTTGGTCATATATACTCATATTAAAATAAATTAAAAAAATTAAATTCATTTTTTATGTATATTTATATCAGCTTAATAAAATATGAATATTTATTATTTAATAATAATTAAATACAATTTTAATGTATTTACATAATAATGTATAATATACCTACACTTACATACGATAATGTAAATGTGTTATCCAAGTTTAAAAAGGAATGTAGCTATATAAATGCGTTGTTATCATTTCTCATAAAGTATTTATAATTTTACTGCTTTATCATAGTGTTCATTATTTATAAGTTTGATCAATTGAAAAATGAAGAAAATTAACAATTCAAAATATAGGCTATTTAATTAGTTGAAAAATATAAGCTTTGTTACTCGGTATAACAGGTTAGGCCAGTTTATAAAATTTGACGTGCGTGTGATACATATAATAATAAATACACATAGATAAGTAGGTTGATTCAGAAGCAGGTACAGGGACTATTATTTACTCTGTACCCTAAAATATGTGCATTAACTTTTTCGATCAGATTTTAGTCAAACAATATATTTTTAATTAAGCTTCAGGACTTATGCATGGGTAACCTTCTTCTATTGACTATTATATTCATCAAATTTCCCTATTGATTTTACAAGATATACTTGTAGAACATATATACTTAGCCAATTCGAAAGTTATGATGTGATAATTAAAAGTTATAACTTATAATACTAAAATGCATTTTTTATCAATCATACAAAAACTGTAAGCAACTATACAATATACATATTATAATGACCTTCCGAAAACCGAATTCCGGACTTCAGGGGCGGAATGGCCAAGGAGGCAAAGGGGCAATCACCTCCCGGGCCCTTGATAGTTTCAGTTAATAAAAATTATACACATTTAAATATAAAATATAATAGTAAAACACCATTTCCTTTCAAATAAATGAAAATTAATTGTGCACTATTAGCTAAAAATATTTATTAATTAAAATGTGATAATAATAGGTCCAGTTGATTAACCCTCCGGACCCCTCGATACCCACTCCACCACTGCCGGACTTACATATATTTATGAATGTCATTTACCCCGCAGTTATCTATATTCTATAATATGTATTATACTTACCAACTTCGTAGCAGGGTGTCATGCACGTGGTCGCCGGCCGCTTATGGTCGTCGGCCGCAATAGCCGGCCTCCGGACCTGTAAGAGTGAGTCCACCGTGAACCTTTTGGTGTTTTCGGACGCGTAATCGTCCTCGGGCCTGCCGTACCCGCCGACAGCGGCGGCCTGTTCGCTGAGCATGTGCAGGACGTAAACACTTTCGAAACGCATACAAAAATTGTGACGGTTATTGAGTGCAGCATGCGGTTCGTTATTATTATAGGTATTATTCTATAATTATTATATAGGTATATACAATAATACTACCCAAACGGATCGGTTTTTACTTATTTCTGTTATAATAACGATAACACGGATAGTGATTAATAGAAATGTACGTATTATATAATATAATTATATGGTAGCGTTGAGTTAAATATCATCTGCACTTAAGTACAGTAATCGCGGCGGAGGCGGCGGTACGCGAAGACATACTGTGACGATTCTGAGACGTAGGATATTCGGTGGTATCCACACGTAAAAATATATAAAAACGAGACCGCCTCTACAACGGACGCGCGTGCGTGCGCGTGACGAGCAGACGATATTATTTAGGGGGGCGGCGGTGGCGGCCTTTTGGTAGGAGTCCAATCGCGGATGTCCGCGCGAATTATGGTGTCTGTTCGAAAAACTGACAAGCGACCGTCGCCACCGTGCGCGGGTAGATACTTATATATTATATATATACGTATGTATGTGGTATGTCGTATACGTATAAAATACAGCACTGTTGTAGCTCATTATTTCGAGTTTTTTTTTCGGAAGATTTGAGAAGATCGTATACACAACGTGTAAGTGTGATTTTTAAATAATCATAGACATTAAGAGAACCCTTATTTTGTCATTCTCGGTAGTATAATGAGTGAAAATTGCAAGAAAGTATTCTAAATAAAGATTTTATGAGTGACATTTTAGGTTTAAGAGCAATAAGCAATGAATATTGTATTGATTTTCAATCGTGTATTTTCTTAAGAGAGTATATACATCACAAGGATAAGTTGTCAATAAAACGCTTAGTTTTTCAATTTGAAAGGTTAGTTTAGATAATAAATTGAGTAAAAATTGTACTTTGGATACGTCAAAATTAAAGTTTTATATTTTTATACAAACGGGAAAAAAATTAAAAATTAAGGAAAAACAAGAATTTTTACACTAAACCAGATTTCAACTAAATTGATTTATTTATTTTGGTATAGTTAAAAGTTAAAAGCGAATAATCACATAAATTTGAAGTACCTACCTATTTATAATTTATTATTATTATATATATTATATGATATAATTTTCAAAATATTTTGACTTTTTTAAAATTATTTATAGACAATTAAAATTATTGATTTTTTTAGTTTTATTTTTATAAGTGTTAATAAAAAATGTACGAAAGAGTAGAAATGTTTGAAAATTTAATACAAAGTTCCTAGTACCTAAATGGTTTATTTCTCAATTAAAAAAATATTTAAATAATTTATAGTCAAAATATTTTTTAAAAGCATTTAAATTTAGAATTTTGACAAAATGTGTGAAAAACTCTAAAAGTACAAATTATTTTGTAGTTAAAAATATCTAAAAAAAGTTCTGTTTATACCTGATTTGAAATTTGAATACAAGCTTTTTTTTAAAAGTTTTTCAATCTCTTATAAAAAAAAAATTTACCGGACAGCCTGCAAATTAATTTTTAGTAAGCATTCTAAGTTTAAATTTTTTAGGACACTCGATTTACCGGCAAAATAATTAAATAATTCCTCCTGAATCAATTTTTGATATTAACAGTAAATACTTGAAATTGTCACCAAATATTTATCTTATTATTTTTATTATGTAATAATTTTTTTAAAATAATTTATCTCTTTTTGAACTATTTATAAGAATATCAAATTTTAATTTTTTTATAAATTTTGATAAAAAATTATTCGCTTGGTAAAATTTTTGAAAATTTAATACAAGATTCCAAGAAAAACTTTTTGTACTTATATTTGTTTACCTATTAAGTTTTGAAAATGTAGAAAAAATTCCTCATAAGTAGTTCATAGTATTGATAACATAAAATATAAACATTATATGAAAGTATTTATTTTAGAGTTTAAATTTGGATAACATTTATTATTATTTAAACGATAAATACCTATTGATGTTAATTATTTTGGTACAATTTAAAAATATTATTTTTGGAAACTTTAAACTTTTACGTATATTATATTATTATGAATTTTACTATACGCAATGATATTTTTGATTTATTTTAATACAATTATCTTAAAAATATAAACATGTACAGTGACCGCACCATAAATTTTGGGGCCCTAGGCAATATTTTTGGTGGGCCTAGATGATTATGGAAGTAGACGTTAAATACTTACATTTGATCTTTTGTTTTATATAATAGCTGACACTAATGTGTGTAGTGTGTAAATTAAATTTTAATAAAATATATAAAAATTGTACATGTACCTGTATAACATGTCAACAAGATAATTAAAATGATTTTTCCTTGATTTTACTGCAGCAAATAGTTATTTATAATTGTATCATAATTTATTGTATCTGATATTGACTTTTCAACTAATATCATAGACAATCCACAAAGTTTTTCTTGATTAGTTGTATTATGAAGATAATTTTTTATAATTTTTAGCTTAGAAAAACTTTTCTCTGTGCTTACTAAACGTTGAAGTGGCTGGAGCGGTTAGAAGTATCCGAAGTGTAACATTAATATTTAAAAATTATTTGCGGGAGCATTTTTATTTCTTCATTGCGTTGTTTTTTTTAATTTTCTTTTTAAAGATCCTTTTAAATATATACGTTTGGACATGATTAAAATATTGGTACCTTTTTTTTTTCTTGTTTGAACCGACGACCAGGAGGGGACTGCTTTCGCATTGCTTCCTCCCGGAAAATATTGGTACCTATATGAGTTTAAAATAACGTTAAAGGTATTGATAAATTGTTATGTAATAGTAAATAAACAAATAGCCGCGATAGTTTTATAATTAATATTCACTAAACTATGGGTAAAGACGGAAAAGTTCATATTAGCTAGTCAATAGCTACATAAATGAAACGAAAACAACTTGCCGGATATACACACAACTACATAAGTCAACTTGTACCATGTACAATGTACATAATATTACACGGCTAGACAGACAATTATAGACAAATTACAACACAACACAACACAACACGTAATGAACAACGATAACATGAGTAAACGACACGGCTTAGGGATTTTTCGTTTTCGAGTTATTTTTAAACGTGATAATTAATACCTAATGCGTGTTATTGCAATATTGCCATTATCGGTTGTTATATTGTTGATCGAAGTGTGATGTATATTTTATAATGTATTATAATTTATAGCCTATAATTGGTATTTCAAGTACAAATATTAATTTTATTTTTTCTGTATGGTTACAAACTATGCACATTGGCAACATTACTTGTTTAAAAAAATTTGTTCTCAAGATACGTGCCATAAAATTATAAAAAACAAATAGTTAAGCAAGGGGTTCCGGGAATTTGCACGAAATGTCCCCCCCTAGCGCCATCACAGAACATCTATTTATGAAACTATTTTTGCTCTTTTATGATATTTATACCGAAAGATTAAATTAATTTTTGGGTTGAATAAATTTTCATAATAGGATATAAATAAATGTATATTATTATAATAATTAAATAAAAAGTTGTATCAATCTGCAGTAACATTAAAAGGAAAATAGTTTAAATAATTGTATCAAAAAAAAAAAAAAAAAAACGTATCTTAAAAAAAATATGCGTTTTGGTGATATTTTAGGCTAGCATACTATTTTTCGAACACAATGATACATAATTGAATTCAGATTTAACACACCTATAATAATGGCACATGCTACACTCTATACATTATGTACCTACAGGAAATTGGTACACACTTTTTAAATAGGTAGAAGAATGTTATTTGTAATATACACACATATCCCTATATTATAATTCATATAAGGAGTAAATATTAAAATATATTTCTATGAATTCATGTCTATTCTCCCCTTATTTTATGTAAACCTAAGCTCAAGTCGAATAAATGGCCAATGCCACCACGAAAAATAATTTTTTACCACCTCATCCTCTCCCATCATAGCACATTACAATATGGTAATTTAACTTATTTAATATAATATACAAAAAGTTATCATTAAAATAATTTAACGTTATGATTTCCGTTTATAAAATAATTTTAATAGTGCCATGTATAGGGGAGACCAGGGGAAACGTAACATTTTACACTTTTTTCTATTTTTAAGAAATTGTTGTACAGATTTTTAATTTTTAACGTTATCATTTGATAAAGGAACATAATAGCTATTAAATTTTATTACAATAGCTGTTTAAATATCAATCTTAACAATAAATATTTTTAATTAAAAAAAAAAAAAGTGCTACAATCATCCCAGACTCTGGGGTTAAAAATGACACATATCTTGGAGTTAAATGTTACACATATCTTAATTCTGTTTTTCAACGATATTAATATGATTATATATGTTTTATTAAATTAAAAACCAAATCTGATAACCATGACATATACGTAGGTAGATGTAACCAAATTAGACTATAGACTCAAATCATCATGATATATACCAAATAATTATTATCTATCTATTCACTATTAAAAAAATCTTAGTTAAAATAAAATATGAAAAGTAATGTATAGTTGTTAATTTATTATTAATATTTAACTAATTAAAAGTTTTTTATCGTTTTTGTGAACTAAATCAAGCTTTAATAATTAATACGAAATATTAATAAAAAAGTTTAAGTACCTATACTGAGAATAATAATATAATATATTTTCATGGAGTAACATTAAGTACAATTGATCCCAGTCTGTTATCATTGGCCCCATACAGTTTTTTTTAATCAATGCGAAAACAAATGATGAACTTACTTGATAATAAATTAAACAGCGTACATACGACAGCGTAAAAAAAAATTCACTTTGGAATTTAAAAATAGGTTTTTACCGATTGTTTGATTAACAAAACACGATAAAGCTAAACTGATAACTGGATAAAATGACAAAAATTGAGAGACAAATGATGCATGTACAATCGATAATTATTGTATGTATATTATCATAGAAGAAAATATTCAGAATGTTATTATTATTAACCCATGGACGGCCAATGTTATGTTTGCCTCCGGTCACCCTAATAATAAGATTTTAATAAAAATAAATTATTTATAAATAATTATTGTAGGGCAGTCGGTAATTGAGCCAAAGAGAGGGAGGAGAGGGTTATCGACGTCACTGTATAAGTAAATTGCTGAACATAAGTAGATGTCGAATGTGTCCAACTGCAACTAAGTAAACCACTGTTAATGATATAATATGAAATTTGAATTTAATGATAAATCATTACATACCTATGAAAAACAATTCTGAACGGAGACGGCCTGAACCTAACGAACGAATACACGCACGAGGACCAATCACAAATAGAGATGGGCGAGGTTTTAAGGCTAAAACCAACCAATAACACACCAATAAGACAAATAAAATTATGACTCTTCACTCTAGGCAAAAGAAAATGTAATTTATTTTGAAATTGGGATGTAATGGAAATAAATTGCTGAGGTACCATTCTCCGGGTTCATAGAACATTTATTTTTATGCATTAAAACACGATTTGTCATTGTATATATTATATTGAATTTGATTCAAAATTTTATAACTTATTTTTGTCAATTTACAATAATTATTAATAATGTTAAACAACATAATCTTCTTTGTCAAAAAATACCAAATATAATATATCCATTAATTGAATTTATTTGTTGAAAATGATAAGACTTTAATAATAGCGGTATTTAGAAAATTTTATTAACTATTTTTATTGAAGTATAATTAGAATTTAAAGTAGAATAAATTTGCCACGAAATCATAAGATTTTATTTTAAATGTTATTATTTATGTTTATCAGATTTTTGAATAATGTTCATATAAATTTGTTTATATAATTATTCTAATTACACCATTGCAAAAATAAATAAACTACATGTCTATATAACACAAAAACAATATTTTAAACAAAAATATAGTAAGAATAGTAACATAATTAAATTAACTTAATAATAGCAAAGGTCGGGAGGGACTTTGAACAGGAACTTTAAAAAAAAATGTTTTCTAGGACTAACTAGTAGTAGAAAACAAATTGTTTATATAATTTATATTATATAATGAAAAAAAAAATATTTATTATTGCTCCATGTAAAAATTATTTAACAATTTAATGATATTAATTAATTAATTTGTTTTGGAAATACAAATCTAATAATGAGTAAAAAAAAAACAACAAACAAATATTTGTTTTATAAAAATCATGACTAATTAAGCAAATATAAAACAATTATCATTTAAAGAAAATTAGCATAAGTTTTCCTTAAAAACAACTGAATAACAATAAATATATAATTTTAGTTCAGTTCGATGTGAATTATTAAACATCACATTTGTATTCTTTCATTATAAAACTATGCAAACATCATATCAGTCTAGAATGTTGAACAAAAATCATAATTAGATTAACGAACAAGAAAATTTGAACTGTTCAAAATTTTTATTTTATTTCAATATTATGTTAAAGTATTTTAATTCATAAATATAATTTCTGAAACAATACTATTAATATTTAATAAATTGAAAAAAATAAATACATTGTAGTAAAGGATAATTAATGTTAATACATTTATCCAAATTTTCATTTAAATTTAATTAGTTCAATAGTCTACAAGATGAAAAAAATATTATACAAATAAAAATAATAAACATCAATAAATTTTAATAAGAAATCATTTTGCACCAAGAAAATAACTTAAAAAAAAAAAACAAAGTATGTTAACGTCAATTAATGTAGTAAAGTATAATTTATGAATCAATTAAACAGGTTTTTTATGTTTTACTACATTAAAGATAGTAACATTATACCTATTGTAGGATGTAGATCAATAAATTATAAATCCAATATTTTTCATGAAGCCAAATCTGTAGCTTAAGCATGATTAATTTTTAAGATATTATTTTAATAGTTCAAAATATCAATTTTTCAGCCAATATTACTTTGTAATCATTGAGAACTAATGAATCATAATTCTATTTTATTCAATTTCATTCTATTATGTCCCTCCTCCTTCTGAAGCATCACGACCACGTTGTTGTTCCAACAAACGTTCAAGTGGTGATGGCCCTGGACCTGACCACAATGACTATAAAAAAAGTTATATATTGTGATAAAATGTTATTTTTTTAAATCTTCAACCAATAATACCTGTTGATGGAATGTAGCAAATGATCTGTTACTGGGTTCTTGACTTGTATCCATATTACGAGGCATCATAACATTAGGTTGATTAAATAGTGAATAATATGGGCTGTTATTTACACCATTATAATAATTACGCTGTTGATCATCTCTTATATTAAAATGCTTGAAAATTATGTAAGACAATTAATATATTATAAACATTTTAAATTTTAACACTTACATTTAAGTTATTTTGCAATGTTGAATTATGTGCTGCTTGTGGAGGATTAACATTTGACCAAGTACCATTTGGGTATTGCCCAATTGGAGCTTGGTTTTGCATAAATGGAAACATTGCATGATTCTGTTGGTTGCTAAAAATGTTAAGAATTAAATAAATTGTTTTGTGAAAAATAGTACATTTTCTTACTTTTGAGGTTGTTTAATACTATCAATCCAGCTGGCTGGTGGTTGTGGCCAAGTAGAAAAATTTGGTAATGGCTGATTAAACCTGTATGAACTTTCAGAAGATGATGGAAATCCACTCATATGAAGCTGACCAAAAGTATTCATGACAGGATTAATATTAGGCTGGGAAGAGTTTAAAGAGTTGACAGGATGTGGCAATTGATAGCCAATAGGAGTAGGTTTCACAGCATTTTGATCTTTTTCAAATTCTGAAGAAGTATGATCAAGGTCTTCCAATGACCATTTAGCTTCACTGCTTGATGATGAACTCGGAGATGGAGAGCGAAATTTAACCTATAAATTATTTAATTGATAAAATAATTATTAATAATTTGTAATATATCGTTCTATTCTATGAAGTAAGATATTTACTTGTTTGGTTTCAGTATCTTGATTCTTTTTTAACATTGAATCAATGTCAACATTACGTGAGACTGGTTTTATATCTGAATTACTAGAAGACTGAAATTTCAAAATACCACTTTTTCTTTCACCTAACAATAAAATATAATTTATAATAACAATTATATTTATTTATTATACTTATTAATTACATACTTGAATTAAGTAACTGGCGCTGTTGATATGATGATAATGTTTCAAGGTCCGCCGCGAGATCAATTGAATGAGAGTTGGCTGAACTATTTGGTATAATTTCAAAGCTCCATCCTTCATCTTTTTTTCTAAGAAAAACATAAATAATTAACTAAAATATTGATAAAATTAAAAATAATAAAATATTCTTACATTGCTTTTATTAATGAATATGAAGTAGATGAAAACCATATACCAAAATCAATTAAACGATTAGCTCTTAGAGCATTTATATTTATTTTTGTAGTGTCATCTGGATTTAATCTAAGGTAATATAACAATTTATATTAATAATAAAATTCAAGTGTTAAAAATCATTATTGTTTGTCTTACATGAGTTTAGAATGTACTGATTCTAACATAACAAAGCCTTGAAGTAATCTATCTTCCGGTAAAGGAATATGAGAATCTAATAATAAAACATTTTGGATTATAATATTAATTAAAAAAGTGAATTAGTAGATAGAAATTTTAATCTTTTTTAATGATTGATTATTCATAAATTAAATTGGAAGGAAAACATGGATGCTGTTAGACAAATGCATTTTAAGAAGCAGAAAAATTTAATCAATACTACGAATGAAAGGTTGTCAACATGATTTCACGAGCTACAAAGATAAATACAATAATACTAAGAATCAAAATGTTTATAAATACATTTTATAAATGTATACAAATCTGATTTTATAAACAAGACAAGAACCACAGATTAGTCAATCCTGCTATAAATGATGCAAACATAATTTATGAATTTATTTATATTTATACTTTATAAAAAAATCAAATTTAAATGTAGGTAAAAGTTCACAAATAAAAATATTTTAAGAAAAAAAAAATGCCAAGTAAAACTATGTTATATATTAACCGGAAAGTGTAGTCTATTATGATTTTTTAATTTAAATAAACTCTAAATTAGGTTTATCTAGAAAACACTAGAATAGCTGCAATATTATAAAATATGTGTAAAAATAATTTGGATATATTAAAAAAAAAAAAAATGAACAATAGTCTTAACTCACAATCATTATTGCTTAAATTATTTGATAGTCCATTCAACAATTTACAAAGGCCTGGCCAAATTTGTAAACGACTTTTGAAACCAGGTGAATTAAGAACACTAATATCACTTCTTATCCAATCCAAAATTAGTTTGACTGTAAAATAAAGTATAACAATATTTAAAATTACAACATGTGATATTTTTGGCTCAAAATAATTATTTAAAAATATATTTTGTTGAATTAATTGGGTATATTTTAATACCTGCTGGCAATGTATAGTATTCTGAAATATTTTGACTTTCTTTCATTGTGTACAGTGGAAGTAAAAAAGCATTGAGGAAAGTGGCTAATAAATCAACAACAGGAAAACACTGCACTTTAATTGATGTAGATTCATTTCCAATATAGTTATATGCTAACATATTTATAGCCACCATCTAAGAATAGTTAAATATTTATGATACATAAATAACAAATAACAATAAAAATATTAATAATAACCTGCTGTAATTTAAATGATGTAAATGATTCAGTAGCAATAAGTGGTGTAAATGACAGTGAAAGACTTTTGATGTATCCATCACAAGTTTGGCGTTTTATTATATCTTTTGACATCAACACTCCGTGAAATGCGAGAAATAGTTGAACAAATTCTGTACTAGTAATTTTTGTTTTATACAGCATATCTTGACTAAAAATAATATAAAATATGATGTATCAAAATAAATTATTTTTTGATTGGTAGTATTTAAAATTTTTCTTTTTTTTTGCTATAGCATATTTACCTAGAGCTAATATATTTATTTAAGGTGAAATTTAAATTATTGACGGCTGCTAGAAATGGGTGTCTAACATTTATGCTTCTCATGTAATAAAATACCGTGCTTAAACTATCTCCTCGTGATGCTTCCAATAGAGCTAATTGGTTATAAGGTTGTCCACTATTGGGGCTCAATTGAATGGCATGTCTGTTTAAAAGTATAATATTTGTGTTAAAAGGATATATATAAATTTACTACGATAAATACATATTAATCTACAATGTTTAAGTTCAACATTACCATCTTAATTTAAAATTGTTATGGAATTGATTAAAATGAATCTAATTATAAAAACAATTATTTTAGTGGCATACTATGCATTATTTAATATAAATATAGAGTAAATCTTATGTCATTATATGAACGTTTTTTGTATGATTATGAATCAGTAACATGGAATTTTTTTAAAAAAAAAAGATAAGACTTGTTTCTTTATTTTTAACAGCTAATTTGTATGAGAAAACTTAAGATTTTTGAAGTGAGCAATTGTTCTAACATCAAAATTAACATTTTTTTTTTTGAAAATTTTGATGTTAAAATCAAACATTTTGGTTCATTGCCCACTGGTATATTTACTTCAGGACTCTTAATTTTAGTAAATTGATTAATATATTTAGTTTAAATGAATTTTATTTCTAAAGCTAAATGTATTTTTTTAACTATCTTTTAATGTAATTCAATACCCTTTTAAAAATTTAAAATTTTATTAGAAACGCCAAAAAAAAATTATTTTTTGGGATAATTGCCTTGAAAACTATTGAACATATTTTAACATATAATTATAAAATTAGTAGGTACATACTTACTATTACTGTATAATTATAATAAATTGATTAATTTATAGTTTATAAAAAGGTACGGAATAGTATTAAAAGATAGTTAAAAATATATAAATTATTTTAGAAATAAAACAAACTTAAACTAAATCTATTAATCAATTTATTAAAGTTTAGAGTAAATAAACCAGTGAACATCAAAATTTTCAAAAAAAAAAAAAACATTAGAAAAATGTATTAAAAGATAGAGTTGACTTTGATGTTGGTATAGCAGCTTCCTTAAAAATTTTAAAATTGCCATACAAAAATTGGCTGTTTAAAATAAAGGAACATATCTTTTTCCTTTTATTTAAATTACATGTTATTAGATCTATAATAATTAAAAAATTCCGTGTATGACATAAAATACATACATATGTATATTGATTACCTCAAACCATGCTACTAAATAAAGTGTTTTTAGAAAAAAACAATAGTTATAAGGTTATTTTTTTATTAATTTTTAAATAAAATAAAATACCTAATAAGTTATTTTATTTTTAATAATACTAAGAACCTATACTATATTCAGAATTAAAAGATAATAGGCGTAGATATAAACTGGTAGAGATGACAGATCCTTCAAGTCTCCACCATGAAAAACCAAATGATGAAAAAGATTCAACCACTAAGGGTTTAAATTCAATTGGTGTGTCTTTTAATCTAAGTATACTATGATAGATATTAAACAAGGATTATTGGAATAAGTGTATGTATTTTGATTTTAATTATTGATATAATCTGAAAATAATTTAATAAGGAGTTGTGATGTACATATATATAAATATATAGTTTTGTTAAAGATACTATACTAATTAACAATATAAACATGATAATTAAATAGTAATAACTAAGAACAAATGTATTTTAATTCAAGTAGAGAACAATTAATATAATTTATATTAAAACCATGTACCTGTAAAATGATTCAGCTTGTCTATTTTGATTACGATAACGAGCAATATCACCCAAGTGCACCAAACAATATTGACAAATGTAATTGCATGAACTTTTTTGCGGTTTTCGTAAATATGTTGATCCTAAAGACTTGTTATCCGTGTCACAAAATCCATACAATTTTCTATGAGAATTAATAATATATAATTAACTAAATTGAATACCATAAATCATAATCATTACTCATTAGCTATTACATACTTATGAAATGGTAGATCCAAATCAAATGTCAAGCATATGCTGTGCAAGAGCATAAGATAGAAGCCATATGCAGACTCAAGGCATGATAGGAATAATGCATTCCATTCATTGCGTTTGGCATTCTAATAAAAAATTAAATACCATTTATAAAAAAAAAATATAATACAGGAAAATAAATAAATTAACCGTAAATTATTATATAAATTTAAGTATCTCATTCAGTTAAATATTTAGATAGTACCTTTTTGTCTTTGGCGAGTTGTTGTAGCTTGTTGATATTGTTTTTAAACCCATGATTCCAGAGGTCTTGTTCAACTTTCTGGTCTAGCGCATATTCCAAGTCCAAAGTCAACACTTGCTGATAGATGATCTAAAATATAGAAATAAATTGTAACTAAAATCAATTGATAAGCAATAGTAAATTGTGTATACCCTCAACTGCTGTTGACATGCTAATGTTTCGGGGCTGTTTATGTCTTTGGATGTACATATTTGTTCTTTCAGTTGATCAGCTTTCCTAGAAGAGACAATGCATAGGTATAATTAATAATAAAAAGCTTTACTGTGCAGCACCCAAATGGGTATTCATACTTCAATGTTTGGATGGCCGCGATGGACACCATGGTACATTAGTGTCTCCCCACACATGGGACAGTATAAATTTATTTTTCGTTCAGGTGACGATCTAACGGTGCCGAATGACAGTAACACCGCAGGACATCATCAATGACCAATCATTATCGTCCAATGATCTTCGGCATTTGTACATTTGAAGACAACTAATATTGTTATAATTTACGTATAGAAGATTGTATAGTAATACATCAGTTAATATATCATTAGGACTTTAGGATTAGTATTAATACCTTATACACTGATTGTCACTTGTCAGTTTGTCACATACTCATGTCTCATAATAATATAATACACTATGTTAAGATTGTTAAGAATATTACGACTACTAATTCTCTATCGGTTCTCTGCAGTTTGCACGCGCGTTATCATTTATCAATTATTACACAACCATAGATAATAATAAAGGAACGCTCATTTTCGGCGGGACTATTATCGAAATAATACCTTTTAGAACACCGGCTGATAAGAATTGTTTGAATTTGAATACATTTTTAAAAAAATTTTGTCGAAATAAAAAGTGTGTTAACCTTGTATGATTACTAACTTTGCTCACTGAAATTCGGCTGAATTTTTTTTGAATTCGAATATCGTTTTGGATTATTTTTGTTGTTTTCTGAACAACGAATAATTGTTGGGCACACTGGTTCGTAGCGACCATCACAACAACTACAATAATAATAATAATAATAATAATAAAAACGCGTTTTTGAACATGGCGACCTAGTCTTCTAATATAGTGATTGTACGTAAATGGTATATAGTATATATACTAAATGATTACGAAATAAAAATGATAAGTTGGTACATATATTTTCTGATTATGTGATTTTATCTTCCCAATATCCTGACAAAAATACGTTTTTCCTAAGAAATATCCGTGTTTTCATCCGACAACGGTGAATTTTTTTTTAGAACGTGCCGCCCAAAGTCGATCACCGAAAAGCAGAGAGTCCGAAACCTCGAAAACGGTTTGCTGAACTTTGACTGAGGTACTGTTTTACACTACCTCTCACTGGTTTGGTATATCAATTCTCCTTGGGTAAGTAAAAGACAAAAGAAAAAAAATATGACGGCAAAATCAAAACGTACTATACGTGTACGTTGTGATGCTCCTTGCGTTTTCCGCTGTTGTATTGTCGTTTGTCGCAATGATGTCTTTGAAGTTTGAGCGATTTGTGTGACGTTTGAAACTTCATTGGATTTACTCAAAATGAAATTATCATCATAATATCCGTTGTTGATTTTATTTTTTTAACGACCTAACTCGCTTCTTTAAACTTATGACTACCGGACGTTAACGTCATATGGTGACGTACGTTTTATTTATGTTAATTTATTATGTGGTTAATCGGAAAACAAAAATTAAATTGCGATTTATATTGATTTATTATCAATTGACCTTTTAAGAAAACCTTTTTTCTATCTGATTTCCTAAAATTGTATGTTTTTGTTCAGTCCACATATTACATGTACTTATTGTACACTCGACATAGATGATACCCTTAGATTTGTACTAGATACCTCAGAATTTTTAGATCAATAACCATATCGTACATTTTAATTTTGAATACATCTCCAAAAAATTTTTCCTACAAAAAATTTGGGTAGATTGTAATTTTACTTTGTTTACGCATTGTAACATCTAATATTGGTCCTTTTGGCTCTAAGTTGTGAAAGTTGAGTTGTATTTAAATATATACTTACCATGTAGGATTTTCTCTAACGGAGAAAATTTGTTCTTGTGTGGTATTTTAATTTATAACTAATTTATTATATATTGAATGTTGGTATGTTACCTAACTAATTAAACATGAAAATGTTATCTTTAGTTATTATAATACATTTATTTTTAATAAAATAAAGGTTTTTAGGTACATAAACTATCCAAGTTTTTTTAACAACAATATACAAATGTATTTTCAATTGCTAGTGTATACTAATGCGATAATTGATATAAATATTTTTTAGATTAAACAGATAAATAATGAACAAAAAAGATAGATGGGATATTTGCCGCACCTGTGGTAACACAGCGGATGTTGAAATATTTGGTCGCGATGGAGTGACTTTACAACTAGAAGAAAAAATTAATTCTTATCTTCCTATTACAGTAAACAAAATAAACAATTAGTTTATAATATGAATAATTTTATAGATGTTTCAAACCTTTCTTGCTATGTTTTAATTTTAGGTTTCTAAGAATGATAATCTACCACTCAAATTATGTAATGTGTGTATCAATCGTTTAGAAAATTGTCATTGTTTAATTGTATCGACCATTGAAATGAATAAAACATTAGAAGAAGTTATTAAAAAAGAGCAAATAAAAAATAATTCTTATAATTTTGTAAGTACCTACTATATATATACTTAAATAATTCACGTATTCATAGCTAGAAAATATATTTTTACTATACTCTACTTTAGAAGTATAATAAATTATATCATATCACTATAAGATATACTTAGAAATAATTCAGTATTTTTATATTTTTTTTACTGTTATCATAACAGGTAAATATGGAAAATAATGAAGATGAAAACTTTGAAGATATTGATCAAAAATGTGTACAGCCCATGGGAATTATGGATATAAATTCTGCTGACGAAGAAGATTGTGAAGGAATTGTTACAGTTAAAGAAGAATATTTAGAAGTACTATTATTATTATCATTATCATTTTTTGTTTGATGATTTTTTTTATTGTTATATTATTAAACTCATTATTTAATTATAATAATGTTACTTTTATTTTAGTATGGACCAGTGGATGTTGTTAGTATTGGGGCTGATGAACTATTTGATGATGCATCTGATGAGTTAGACATGGATAAAATTACAGAAGAAGATGATGGCGAGGAGAATGGTAAATTTCAATGTTCCAAGTGCCAGCGTGTTTTTGATTCGGAGACCAAAATGCGTCGTCACATATTTATTCAGCATAATCCTAGGGAAATGGAATGTTTTCATTGTTTTGCTAAATATGAATCTATGTTGCATTTTGAGCGTCATGTTGCTACACACTTCACTCGAAATGAATATCTTTGTGACTTTTGTCCTACTATGTTCAATCGGGTGTCTGGACTACTTGATCATTTAGCCAAACATAAAATCGATCGCCAAAGATTTACTTGTCAAGAATGTGGAAAAGTATTGGCAAACAGACTTTCTTTCACTATTCACCAACGTACTCATACTGGTGAAAAACCTCATGCATGCAAATATTGTGACAGAACATTTTCTCAGGTTAGTTTATTATATAATATTAATTAATACTAAACATATGTGCTCAGAAGTCATTAATTTAATTTCACCATATACTTTTTATTTATTAAAATTAATTATTTACTTATTTATTTATAAAGAATTTTTTTACTAATCAATTGATGAGTAATAAAATTTGAAGTGGTGTCACCGGACGCCTCCATCTCTCAAGTCTACATGTCTTTTGTTTTCTTTTTAAGCCCTTCATAATTTGCTTATTGTATAATAATGTATACAGATTGTAAATATTCTTTTAATAATAAAAAAAAATTTTTTTTAATATTTTATAAAAGTTTATCATAGTATGACTAAAAATTCAACTCATAATTTTATTAGATGTGATAGTCTAGTGGTTTAGTTTTAGTCTATTATATTCTTGTCTGCAAGTAAAAAAAAAAATCACTTCTTATAACTAATTGAGGATAAATAGTTAAAATGTTTGAAAAATGGAAAGGTACTGATTAAAATTTAGAAATTTGAGGTTCTAATCTACGATAATTATCCCAGTTAACTAAATTGATAATTTGTAATTAATTCTTGTAACAAATAACAGTCCTGAGTTGAATGAATTCTTAAAAATTAGGTACTTAAAATCATTAGCTTTTAAAAGAAAACGAGAGTTAACAATTATGTTTTTTAATATCATTATTTAAGTTTGTTCACTCGACCACTGATAAGCAAAAATTCCACGACTTGGTTAACCAAAAAATTAATCTTAAAATTAGTTTTAAAACCACCCAAGAGATAGATGACGCTTTTGATAATTTTACGCATGTTATTCACACTGCAGCATGGAATGCTAGTACTACACATAATCAGCACACAAATTACTCCCTTTAAATTCCTGAACATATTTGTTTATTAATGCCTAACAAGCGAAGAGCAAGGGCCCTTTATCAACCTTATCGTCTCCCATCTCTCAAATAAACTTCAACAATCTGGAAAATTCTTTAAAAAAATTTTTGTTACCTAGTCATAGAAATCAAATACTAGCCAACTATCTTACAAATTTGTCATCGAAAGGCGGTAGCCTTTGGTTAGCTACAAAAAAGTCCCTGCAACACTAAGCTTCGAATACTCCGCTAATAAACCACCCATCTGGTGGATTAGCATCCTTAGACGCTGATAAAGCAGAATTGTTAAAAATCACCTAGCAAAATTTACCCTATATTTTGATGTTCAAATTCCACAACATATAGCTTTAGTTAACAGATTTCTTGATAGCTCACTTCCATCTACTCTTCCTTCGAAACGTTTTACTCCTAACGATGCTAAAAATGCAATTCAAAATTATAACCTCGAGAAATTATCTGGTTATGATCTAATCTTAGTGATTTAGTTGAATGTAGTTTATAAGGTTATTGGAGAGGAAAATTTGTAGGTTTTATCGTTGGATCTTGAATACATTGATATATTGCATATTATGCCAGACTAGTCATCATTTTTTTTTCATTTACCCCGCAAGTTATAATAATTAATCGTCGTTTCTTCTAGTATACAATAGATAGATTTCAACCTCCTGTTTAATAAAGAATTTTATTGGTTGGTAAATTTTGTTTATTTTTATTTTGCTAATCTAGTTTTGTTTAGCTGTTTGTTTACGAATTTAAAATGGAGTAATATAAGATAGAATAGGAATCAATGGATTTTTGCTTCTGAAGTTCTCAATGTGTTTGAATTATATCTTCAGCTTATGCTGCAAAGTTTATACATAATTTTTAATTTGTTTTTTGTTGCTTTTAAGTTTTGCTTGAAAATTAGGCTAGTCTCTGTTGAGTTTGACTCTTATATATCGAAGATTCTTCGTTTAAAATGAGAGTTTTCTTAGTTTCACCATTGTTTTGGTTTTGAGACTATTCCCGTAATTAAATTTTCCGGCTTACTATACCATTTTAATTAACTTTGAAATTTCTTTTATTTAAAATTTATTCTATTCATTGTAGTTTTACGAAGTGAATCAGAGGAAGTAGTATAAAATTTTAGTATGTGGTTGAAGAGGAAGTATGGTTAGGAAGATAACAAGAAGAAGGCTTCAGGGTAGTAAAGATTTGGATGATGTTATAGGTATTCTAGGAATGAAGTTGTTAACAAGTTTTTTATTATGAGACATTAGTGAAAGCACAGAATAATATAGAAACGACACTCAATCAGTTGGATGGTCTACTGTATTCCTACGGTATGAAGTATTGGATTCTAAAAGTTAAAACCGTATCCGTAATCTGACTAGATGTTGGTAATGTGTATTCCTATTTTTTACGATATTATAAAAACTTAAACAATTTGCCCGCGTGATTTTCGCGGGTCTTATGTAAACAAACATTGCTAGAAACGAGCAAATTTGGAATTTCAATAGTTGCATATTTTTATTATTATTCAGTGTTCTTTCAATAGTTTTAACTAATTTTCAACAATATATTGTTTAGTGATAATATTGATATTATTTATTTAAGTGATAACGTATGCCCCCCCCGAGACCGTGTTCAAGGCCAATGTTTGGTTAATATCAGACAGTATCTATACCCTGGTGAAAGAGAACATAGTGTAATTAGAATTGGTGGTACAAAAATATGACTGGTTTTAGGATGAAGTCAGAATTTTTTTTGTATGGATGAACGAAGTGAAGAGAAGCATTAGATATTTTGTGTGAAAAAAGAATGTTTTTCATATTAAATGATAGATTTTACAAAGCAGTTTTGAGGCCAGTCAAAACCAAGGTTGTATTGACCGAAATTGTAGATAACGGAGATTAAATTAGAACAGATGCAAAGGTAGAATAAGAAATGAGTTCATTACGGGTAATATAGAAGTGGTTCCAATTGTAGATAAAATGAGAGAGAATAGGTTTGAGATTGTTAATGAGAGTGACTATAGAAGTTTTTGTTGTAGAAAAAATAGCAATGGAGGAAGATCAATGATGGATAGACAGGATAGAAAAATAATTGGTGTCAGTAAAGGATTGGTTGGTTAGGGGTGTAGTCTTATGGAGTTGTAGGGTAAAAATAAAAATATAGTTGGGTGTAAAAGGCGAAGAAAAATAAGAATTAAAAAAAAAAAAAATGTTAAAATTGGTTTCTACTTTTTCTAAAGCCAAATTGATCTCTAGGTATTGTAATTTCTAATAAGTTTTACTATATGATTTAATATTCTAATTGGTTTTTAGTTATTAGATTAGGTTATCATAGATATGACAATTCTTAACTTCAATAATTCAGATTAACTTACACTAGATATATCACTGTACAATTTCGATAGCTTTTATTCTACACCGTTAGCATCTATACAAAAATGATTAAGAAGTAAGTTACGTAATACAGTTTGAGTGTTGTTAACTTTTGACTTAGTGTTTACCGAATTATTAAGTTTAATAAAAAGATCTGAAACCTCTGCATCATTATCAATATTATCATTATTAACCTATTTTAGTCAATTTTTAGATAAGCTACTGTCTTAGGAATAATTTGTTTCTTTTAAACATTTCAAAATCATTGCAAACATTTATAATTGTATTTTTATTAGTTGAGCAATGTTCATTTCTGAAGTATCAAATTAAAAATTAAATTAACCAAAAAAAAAAAATTAGATTTAGAATAATTTAACCAATGTTATTAAATGGCTTCTTTATAAATAACCTAGATACAATTTTGTACTCGGTGGCTTGTCAATATTTTTACACTCAATTTGTTTAACGAGGGATCAATGAATATCAACTACATAGAAAATCGCTTGATACGTGATTCATTTTTGTTTTTTACGGTTAATATCTGTATTTGCAATACGCAGTAGTCAATTTTTTAATGTTAGTTTGTTACGAACAACAAGGAATCCATCTAAAATTACCACCACTTCGTTGTTTTTTGAAGTTTATTTATACTTTTGTTGCATTAGTCTTAGAATGTTGTTTATTTACAAAGGTCTATTATTATTACCAAGCCGTATAAGTAGAGTATATATATATATATATATTGGTAATAATATTACCAATAGGTCTTTGAAATAATAACATAGATAAATACTTTTTATTTTCAGTGGAAACATGCATAATTTCTTGTTTCAATGTTTTTACTTGGGGTATTAGGAGGAGTATATGATTTAAAAATATATTTACTGTGTATGTGTCACGCTATATATCATACGTTTTTATTAGTTTATTGTAGGTACCTCAAATCAATATTTATTATACATTATTATTTAAAATGTAATATTTAAGAGAATTTAATGTTATTATTAGAACTAGGATTTTAATGACCTAAAAAATATACAAAAATGACCAAAAAATGTACTTAGATGAGCGAAAAAGTTTAATTTTAAAATAATTATTATTTATTAATTTTTTATGTTATATAAAATAGGTAAAAAATTGTTTTAAAAAGTAAATTAAAAAAATATATTCAAATTTGAGTTGACAATTAACTTTATTACTTTTTCAATATCAATGGACTGGAGTAGGTAATTGGGATTGCTTATATAACACATTAAAAAAAGCTTAAATAAACAAAATAAAAGTTTAAATACACAAAATTAACGTAATATTTGTAAAAATGTCCTTAAAAATGTAATAAAACGCATTTAAAGAAAAAAATGCAAAAATCATCAAAATCCTAGCTTTAATTATTATAAACAATATTTTTGTAGATTTCATCAAAGCAATACCATGAACGAACTCATACTGGAGAGACAACTCATCACTGTGAATTTTGTGGCAAGGGATTCAATTCAAAATTGACACGTGACACACACAGGCGTATTCACACAGGCGAACGTCCATTTGGATGTAAGAAGTGTAATGCTACATTTCGTTGCCTAGCGAACTTACGCCAGCATGAAATGGTACATGCACCAGTGAAGCCATTCCAATGTGAGGTCTGTTTAAAGCGTTTTGGGCGACCTGAAAAAGTGCGTGTTCACATGCGTACACATACTGGTGAAAGACCATATAAATGTCCTATTTGTGGACGTGGTTTTACTCAAAAGAATGATATGCTTAAGCACACTAATGTTCACAATAAACCGCCTCGACGGACCAATTCACAAATGAAAAATTCTGAAATAGTAATTTCTATTGATAATAAATCACCACAGTATAAAAATGTAAGTATAAAAGAATTACAAGAAATGTGTTATGATGTCTCCAACAGTTATGAAAGTTCAGAAAACGGAAACGAAACAGAAAGCAGTTCAATGCTTTGATGAAAGATCGATCGATTTAATCGAATGTCATTTATAAATTACTCCGGTAAAAATGTTTTGCTTATTTTATTTAGTCTTAGACTATTATGTTGAAATCATCATACTTGTAATTAAATAAATTTATATAATTTTTTTTTTTTTACGATTTATGTATAATGTACATGATACTAATGATCGAATATGATACAAATTAATATTAATATGATAAACTATTAATTATTATTGTTTTATTTTGATTATGCATAATGCAAACTATGCATAATGTGTTATACACTTTAATATTATGATGTTATTAATGTTCTATTTTCATTGAGTTGAAATTGGTAGTTAGAATATATATAAAGACTATGTGTTCTACTGCTCTATTTTTATGTGTAATTATATCAATAAATTAAATTTGTAATTTAGCCTTTATTTTATTTGGTTTTTTTTGTTTTATGTATATCACCAAACTATTAGTTTTATTAAAAATGTCATTGAACTTTTATCACAAAAAAAAAAAATCTGCTCCACTATGAATCTATATATAACAAGTTTATTCTTATTAGAACCTATTAGAATATTATTTAATCGTTTGATATTTTTTAATATTTACAAGTAATTCTCAAGTTATAATATAATTTAGGATTGTGATCATCCTAAATTCTAAAAACATAAAATCATAAAAAATTAATAAATGTTTAATTTATGTACAACAAAGATATAAATTTAAAATATTGCCAACATTTCTTTAGTAAATATTTTCGAAAAAAAATATACTATAACGGAAACTAATAATGATAGTAAAAATTAATTTTTTATTAAAATATTTTTTTAAAGAAAGTTCTAAAAACTTAAAATTTTTAAAAACATTTAATTCTTGACTATGTTAGAAAAATTGTTTACAATGTCATCAAATTCTAATGTTGTGATTATGTCGGATTTATTATATGGACTTAACAATGCAGACATTTGTTATTATTTTTCACAATTACCATTAAAAACTTATAAACCTTAAGACGATTTGCACGCTGAATTCGTATGGTGGTGCGTTTGAAGAGATGAAATATTTTATCTAATTAAGACATATTAAATTTGTGGACAGTGAAAAGACCGTTTGAGGTATTACTTAGATTTCAAACTGGAAAATACAAGTGGCGATGTTATAGCGTGGTATAACGTCTTATATAAGTTTTAAAATTTATTCAAAAGGTAACAGAAACTAATGATTGTATAAATTAACTTTTCGTAATATTATTCTTTTAAAGCAAGGAGAATGAAGAATGAACTTATAACAGGCGTCTATATTACTGCGTCGAGTAACGATTTATTCAAGTCCTATAGTTTGATATGCCAGATAAAATCTAAATTGATTAGTGTATTGGGGCAATATGCTCTAGAAGTCTCTTTTAATTACACATTAAGAGGAGAAGTTATTATAAGGTTATAAAAGAAAACCGACCAAGTTTTGTTGCACAATAACTTTCAAAGTCTTTGTTAATTAGTGTTTGTTATTGTTACTTATTGCGTATGCGAATGTGGCGAATATAAGAATTGATTAGCGCTGTTTCCACGAATAATTGTTAGTCTCAAAGAAGTGCCAACTATCTAATGAAGTAAAAAATAAAGTGACACCTTTTGGTTTATTACAGTGTCTGTTTTGAGTCATTGAAGTTATTAAGTATCTACATCGATTCTCTTCGAAACCATCAACGTTCTGATGGTATTTAATTGTTTAAAATGTGTAGTGTTGCTCTGTTTCTCTAGAGAAGTCCTCCAACGTTTTTGGAGAAAACAATTTTTTTTGCAATCTACGTAAATGTAGAATCAAGGTTTTTTTTGATTGGTGGTTGTGCTATCGTGATCACACTGCATTTTACATAATATCTTGATATGTGTTTGAAGCGTTCAGATATAGATGGTAATATCTGTATACGTGTTAAGCAATTTGTTGGTGATACGGTTCAATTTTGATAATGTAGAATAATAGTTTATTGCTGCTATAAATTGACGAATAGTTTGTAACGTAGGTATGTATTTCATGACAGATTAGTCCTATTTTATATTTGATTGTGCCCATTGTGGAGAATGGTGGGATTTCTCAAACGAATAGTTTTGGAGACTGTTCTTCAGTCATTTAAAGGAGTGTAATATATATGTTAAGTTGTACGATGAGAACTATATGATGTGGTTTGTATCTTGTCTAGATGTTTATATCATTTGACAGTAGCTAGGCAATAGTTCGTCCATTTCGTAGGTGTTAAAATTATGTAGTAACACAAACAAAACTTTTAATGCCGTAGTGGCTACACCCCTACTCGCAATTATTGTAGTAATTATGTTAACCTTTGCCGTGGTTTGATATATTGCAACAGGTAGTGATGTGTTTAGGGTTGTATGTCTTGTATCATAGGTATATGATATACATGTTTACCATTGTCATTTAAAACAATACGTAATTGGTATTTTACAATTGAAATGCATCGTTGAAAGAATTTATTTCGTAAATACCTAGATGTATATCATGATACTCTAGTTAGCTGCAGGTATCGAGTTTCTTGACGTTCCGCATGATTTATATTTTGCATGACGAAATCGTGATTTGATTAATGATGTACGAATTAAACAGTTTAATCTTTAAATCATATCATAACATCGCATGTTACAATTATAGGCGAACTAGACTCAATGAGCTTACTGTTTTATAAAAATAAAAAAAAAAATCGGTCCATAACGTACAAAATAATTAAATTTGTTATTTAAGTAAAATATGTTTTTATTTTTTTATTTCGTGATTTAAGTTTGACTCTTTTAAATTGCATTACATATTTATTGTAAGATGACAAATTTTCTTCTTACAAATGTTTTTTTTAAATAACTTACAACGATCTAATATTTTTAATTAAAAAATTTAAAGATAAAAGTATAACTTAAAAAAAAAAAATGAGTTACTTGTAACAAACTTATGATAACTTTATTTTCTTTTTTCTTTTTTAGATCGTTGGCATCAGTTTACAGATTTATACCAGTTTTTTAATAAAAAATTCAGTTTTTGTTTTTTTTCTATCGTGTACCTATTAAATTAATAAATTAACATATTGATAATGAAATCAAGGTTTCAAAAATATTTATTGTCGAAGAAAAAGACTATATTTAATTCTACATAATGTTATGTATTTAGTAGTTACGGTAAATAATAGTTTGCAACATATTATATAATTCATAAACCATTGATTTTATTGATAATAAATTACAAAATCATAAAAAGTTAAGGTTAAAATAAATTAAAGGCAGGTAGTTTATTATGTGCATAGTTAAAGAATAAAGTTGTCTATAATTATTTAAATCACTTAATAATATTACTCTATAATTTACATTTCATTTTTAATAATAGGTATGCACACTTAAGTTATTAGCGCTTGACACAAAAAATGTTTGTTGTTAATATAGCAACCTTATAAAAATAGCGTTGTTCATAGGCGTACGGTGAAAAATAGTTTTTTTTCTTTTTAGGAAAAGCAGGGGCTATAGCCCCAATATAGATTTTTAGTCTGCATGTATAACATATCTTAATTATCGATGATTATATATAAACTAACCAGATCGTATAATTTCATCCAAGTATAACAAATTACTTATTAACAGATAAACATTTCAACGCGTTATTATTATTATGCATATGATTGGATCTAATGTATAATAATAATAGTATTTATAGGTCTATAATAAAATTTGATTTCAACAATACAATACACGTTGGATTTTTTTTGGGCTGGCATAGGAGATATAATACGAACCCGATCCACTGAGCATCTGCACAGTGGCCAAGTCCAAAATTGGTGATTAATACTGAATATTGTAAGATAAGCCTCTTAAATATTGAACTGTTGGTATTTCAGAGAAATTTTTCACAATTCTTTTTATTTTTTTATCATGGTCCTTGTATTTTTTACGGCGTGGTGGACTTGATTCTTTCAATAAACGTTTTTCCAATCGAACCCGATATCACGGCATAGTGCCAAATAGATTTGTATTTACTATTGTTATAAATAACATGGAGGTATCCATTGTGTAATAATAGGTTATTACCTTTTTGAATTTGAATGAAAATAAGAATCAATTTTAAGTAAAATTTAAGGGGGAAAATCAAAAATCAAAAATCAACTGACAAGTAAAACTCTTATGATTAAATAATATATAAATCTTCTAAAATGCCCAGCTACAGTTAAGTTACGAAGGCTCTAGTCTATATAAACGCAAAATATGACCCAAACGGCCAAACGTAATCTAAAAGCGCAAAATAAATATTGCATAAGCGCAAAAACAAATCCTTTAAAAAAATTATAAGTGCAAATAAATTATACAAGAATAAAGTGTACTCTATTATAACCATAATATAGTTATTAATAGTTATTTGATAATATACGATTTAAAATATTTCACTCGAATTTCCAAAAATATACGTTTCAATCAAAAATAAATTTTAAGTCATGAAATAATCTATATAGTTATAACTTATATTAACTATTAAGTCAAATACCATTTGTTTTAATTTTAAAGTTTATACTGTATATATTGTATAGTTAACTTAAATGATTATTAACCTTCATCGTGATTTGTTACGATATAATACGATACAATAATACTAAACTTCAACTAAACTAGATCACTATTGATGTATTTTTAAAATGAAACTTATAGTGTAACGGCTAACGGGTACAATATTTATTTTTGCGCTTTTATTCCACTATTAAGGTACAAAAGCATAAAATGAATTTGCGCTCTTGGTTTATTGAAAAAAATAGACGATTTGCGCTTTTGGATTTCACCGGTTACGAAAATCTCATCTAATAAACAGATTTAAGGCCTCTACCATTTTTATTTCAATGGAATAATATTGTGTAGGTACATGTAGTAAATACTTATTAACTAGTAGACTTGCAACTATTTTCAAATATTTATTATAAAATTTATAGTTTCGATCGTAAATACAATGATATAATAATATATCTAATAACTAA